ACAAGATATGACAAACTAACAATTTATAAATTATCAAGGGCTCATGAGGGAGCGGGGAGCAGGGAGGGAGGGGAAAAATGAGGACCTAATGCCGGGGGCTTAAGTGGAGAGGAAATTTTTTGAGAATGATGAGGGCAGCGAATGTACAAATGCGCTTTACACAGTTGATGTATATATGGAATATGATAAGAGTTGTATGAGCCCCTAATAAAATGATTAAAAAAATACTCAGGTGTATATTTTTAGTTTTTCCTTTCCTGAAAGAGTCTTTAATTGTAGTTTCATAGTTTAGGTACCTATTTCTAGGGTTACAGTTACTGTCTCTTAGAACTGTAAGGCGATTTACTATGTCTCTGTCTTCTACTTCACATCTATGTAAAGTAAAAATTGCTGAAAAGCTAGTTCAGTTCTTCATGGTTTATTTGTCTTTTTCTCCCCTTTTTGCTTTGGTAAGATTATCTTTTTAAAGTACTGTATATACTCGAGTATAAGCCGACCCAAATATCAGCCCAGGCACCTAATTTTACCACAAAAGCTGCATTAAAAATGTGTTGAAAAACTTTGTGTACACGAGTATATATGGTATTCTTTTTTATCCTCTTGTGTCTAGGTGCAGATTTTTTTTAAATCCTATTTGGGACTTTGCTTCCTGAATAGATATTCCATGTTCCTAGAAATTTTGGTTAATTTTCCATCTTATCTTGTTCCTCTTACCTGATTATACCCGCGCCACCCCCCACTCCCCCTGTAGGCCTGTACACATGGGAATGCATGTGTGTTATTGCTCTGGCCAGTAACCTTTTTCACTTGGTTCTAATTGGCGGCATTCTGCTTTGCTCCTTGGGTTCTGTAATACAGAACTGTAACATTGATCCCACAGGTGCAGGAGTGCCATGACTTTGGTGGAGAAAGAGCTATGGTCCAACTACTTCCCTGTGTTTGTCAGGCGACTTCCCCCAACTAGTCAACCCTTTACCAGATGCTGTAGTGCTCCAGTGCTCCTAGCTTTAGATTGAGGAGGAAGGGTCTCGTTAGATGCACCTCTGTTGGACCCACGCCGTTGTCTCTTGTACATCCATGACTGTTTTAAACCCAAGCTTCTTGACTGCACCCATTGGCTCTGAATTGACTCCAACTTATATCCTAATATGCAATTGCCAAGGCTGTAAATCTTTACAGGCTAGACACATCTTTCTCCCATGAAGTGGCCGGTGGGTTTGAAATACTAGCCTTTTGGTTAGCAGTCAAGCCCTTCCTTCAGCACTGTGTCAGAGTCCATTAGGAGCGCCTCCGTGGTGGTTTAAGTGTACTGCTGCGAGTTTTCCTTGAGCCTTCTTTTTCCTCTCTGGCTTTAGCTGTGATGTCCCTTACTTTCTATGAGATCAACCATACATTTTAAATGATTGTTCTAAATGCTATAGTTAGCATTTTTCAATTTTGCGGAAAGTGGTTTTCTAGGTTGTCAGGTTTAGCATACTAGTGGAAATAGATGCCTATTGTCTGCTTTTTAATATTTTAGACAAAAGCATGTATAATAAAACATTCTCCTTTCTGTAAAAATAAAGGAATTACATACAAAACAAAATTGTGTGGACTTTCCCCTTTCTCTAGAGCAACCTCTGTCCAGTGTAGATCCCTAGTGAAATGGTTTTCAAAGAAACAGATCATTCCTAGGAGTCGTAGTGTGTGTAAGGAGGTGGCCAAACAGACCTGGATCTCTGGAGCAGTTCTGTTAAGATGCCAAAGGCCAGGTTTTGCACAAGCTTCCTTTTGGCTAGTCAGGGTATCTAATTCATACTCATTTCTACTTACTAATATGCCCACACTTCTGAAAGAGAAGAGATGTCGGGAACAGGTTAAGTATGAGAAATGGCTTTAGTACGTCGTAAAGTTTACCATTTATATAGCAAGGCTGGAGGATATCATTTCATGATACAATAGTTAATGATTACAACTTTTTTCTTATAATAAGCATAGGATTGTTTTGTGCTTCACCATCTACCAAGAGCTTTCCTTGCATTATCTCAAAACATTGGGAAGGAGTATGGTAGGCATCATTATCTCCATTTTACACTTAAGACTGCAGCCTAATTTACTTTGTGACTAGCCTGTAGGAAGGTTAATGACTCCCGGGGGTCATGTAGGTGGCACATGGCAAGCATCTTATATACACTGTCACGAGAATTGCGGGGAGAGGCGTGGTGACATTCTTCATCAGGGTGACACTGGGAATCAGCTCCAAACTCACTGCCATCGAGTCAGTGCTGACTCGTATCGACCTCTCTCTGAGTCTCCGAGACTGTCACTGTTCACGGAACAGTAGAAAGGCCAGCCCGGTCTGTCTCCTGAGGTGCTGCTGGTGGTTTCAAACTACTGGCCTTGCAGATCACAGCCCAACGTGTAACCACGACACTACCAGGGCCTGAGGAACCAGCTCAGGGCTGACCAAAAAGAACCAGTATTTATTCCAAGCCCTTTTCCCGACAAATGTGTGTGCCTGCTGTGCAGTAGGCACAGGGATCAGGAAGCTCACTGTAGGTTTTAGATTTGCCGACTGGCCCACTCTCTGCTTTTCTTCTTCCTAGATTGATATGGTGTCCGGCTACCGAGGAAGGCTGTGGCTGCCAAGAGAAAGGTAACCATTTCTCATCCTCTGGAGTGCATTGGATGCCTCTAGGCCACCCATATTGGCTGGCAGGAGACATGGCAGAGTTTACAAGCTACAAGGAACCGGCCTCCAGCCGCCACCTGCGGTTCAAGTTACAGAGTCTAAGCCGGCGCCTTGACGAGTTGGAAGAAGCCACAAAAAACCTCCAGAAAGCAGAAGATGAACTCCTGGACCTCCAGGACAAGGTGATTCAGGCGGAAGGCAGCAGCTCCAGCATGCTGGCCGAGATTGAAGCTCTGCGCCAGCGAGTGCTGAGGATTGAGGGCAAAGACGAGGAAATCAAGAGGGCAGAGGACCTGTGTCAGCTGATGAAGGAGAAACTTGAAGAGGAAGAAAAGCTCACCCGGGAGCTGAAATATGAGATTGAGCGGCTTCAGAAGCGCATGACAGAACTGGAGAAGCTCGAGGAGGCCTTCAGCAGGAGTAAGAATGACTGCACCCAGCTTTGCTTGAGCCTGAATGAGGAGCGGAACCTGACCAAGAAAATCTCCTCAGAGCTGGAAATGCTCAGGGTCAAAGTGAAGGAACTGGAATCTTCCGAGGACCGCCTGGACAAAACAGAACAGAGTTTAGTGTCCGAGCTAGAGAAGCTGAAGTCGTTAACTCTGAGCTTTGTGAGTGAGAGGAAACACTTGAATGAAAAAGAGAAAGAAAATGAGAAATTAATCAAGGAGCTCACTCAGAAACTGGAACAGAACAAAAAACTGAACCGGGATTATACAAGGAATGCAGCTAATGACCTATGGATTGAGGATGGCATCTCCTCCACGCTGCCACCCAAGGAATTACGAAGGAAGGGCACGCTGGACTATCTGAAGCAGGTCGAGAACGAAACAAGAAACAAAGTGGAAAATGAGAAGAACCGAAACCAGGAAGACAACAAAGTCAAAGACCTGAACCAAGAGATTGAGAAGCTTAAGACACAGATCAAACATTTTGAATCATTGGAAGAAGAGCTTAAGAAAATGAGGGCCAAAAATAATGACCTTCAGGATAATTACTTAAGTGAGCAAAATAAAAATAAGCTTTTAGCTAACCAGCTGGAGGAGATAAAGCTACAAATCAAGAAACAGAAGGACTTAGAAAATGGGGAGGTAGAAGGAGATGTTGTTTTTCTGTCCAGCAAAGGCAGGCAAGAGAGGACTAAGTTTCGAGGCCATGGGAATGAGGCATCTGTGTCCAAGCACACGTCACGGGAACTGTCTCCTCAGCACAAGCGGGAGAGACACAGGGTCAGGGAGTTTGCTCTCAGTAATGAAAACTATTCTCTGAGCTGCAGGCAGATGTCCTCTCCTAGCTTCCCCAGCAGGAGGACAGCCAAAGCTTCCCACCTGGGGGCAGGTACTGACAGTGGGACTCAGGAGACAAAGAGAACTGAGGATCGCTTTGCATCTGCCTGCTCTCAGAGTGAAGGGAAGAAGGCCCGGGAGCAGCCCTCGGTGCTGAGCCGTTACCCACCAGCGGCCCAGGAGCACATCAAAGCTTGGAAGGGAGCTTCCAAGGCAGGCACAGAGAGTGGGCTGAAGGGAAAGGTAGAGAAGACAACGAGAACGTTTGGTGAGGCCACTCATGGCTCCATTCCCAACGACACAATGGGTAGAGCCGCCAAGACTTCTGACACCGCTGAGGCCCTCTTTGGGAAGAGGGGGCAGGTGCTTGGCAGTGGAAGTCAAATGGCGCAGGCTGCAGACTCTAGTAGCTCAAAGGCCATTGTTGCTCTAGCCCCATCTCGAAGATCCTCCTCAGAAGGGCTCTCTAAGGGCAAAAAGTCTGCCAATACCCAGGAGGCTGATCCTAGTTCCCCAAATTCCAAGGCTCCTATTTTAGTGAAGTATCCTTATAGCTCCCGAAGTCAAGAGAGCATCCTTCAGGGCTTTTCAGCGCTGAATAAGGAAGGAGCTGATCAGCCCGTAGCGGTCGTGATGGAAGATAGCAGCCAGCATGAAGCCCTGAGGTGTCGAGTGATCAAATCCAGCGGCAGAGAAAAACCAGACTCAGATGATGATCTGGACATAACATCTCTTGTTACTGCCAAATTGGTAAACACAACCATCACTCCAGAGCTGGAACCCAAACTCCAGCCCCACTCCAGAGAAAAGGCAAGATCCAGAGGGGGCCTGCAAGCCTCCCTGTTTGAGAATGATAAGGACGCTGGACCAGAAAGTGAGTCTGTGAAGCCCATTAGAGCCTCCCCATGTTCTGAGGAGCCCCCAGATGCCAATGGCTCTGGAGTGAAGAGCCAAAGGCCATTCAGCCCTAGAGAGGCCTTACAGTCCAGAGCCATCATCAACCCCATCATCGTTGATAAGGATGTGAAAAAAATCATGGGAGGGTCAAGAGCAGAGACTGCACCGGAGAAACAGAAACCCACGTCTAAACCAGGGTCCACCAAAGTGACCAGCAGCATCACCATCTATCCTGTTGAGAGCAGCACCTCAAGAATGGCCCCGGGGGAGCCCGTGAGGGAGAGGCACATGTCCACCAGCAATATCCAGGTTGGGCCACCCGAGCCCACGGCAGTGGGCAACCACGTTACCTCCCCCTGGGAGCTCTCCCTTCACAAGCCTGACATCAGCCTGCAGCTCCCAGAGGGGGAGAGAGCAGGAGACGGGCCCCTGAAGAGCAAGCCAGACACCGTGGTATCTCGGAGCAGCATCATCATCAGCTCTGTGGAGAGGAATAGCCATTTGCTCCCCTCGGAGACAATCAGATGGAAAAGCCATAATGCCCCTTCAGAAGGCCCTGCAGATGCCAGGCACGTGACTGTGCGGAATGCTTGGAAGAGTAGGCGAGATTTGAACTCCCTGGAGGACCCCCCAGCTCGAAGAGGTAAAAATGTTGAACTGACCAACGCCTACACCCAGAGGTCTTCCACAGACTTCTCAGAACTCGAACAGCCCAGGTTTGAGCAGGGCTCTCGAAGGGTTGGAAATTCAGGGGATGGCCCAGAGCTCTCATCCAGAAGGACCCAGAGTAGCCTCACCGTGTCCGAGGTGCTAACGCGATGGAATCGGGCAGGAGACGGTGTGGCACCGGCAGCCTGGAACCACACGGCCAGCCTGGTGAGTGCTTTGCCTCTCTCCTCACCCCTTCCTGCTGCTCTCCTTTCCCTCCTCCTCCTGCTGCCCACTGCTCTGGCTGTACGACCCTTGGACTGTGGGGCTGGAAAGAGCTGGCAAGGACCGGGTAGCTCAGAGGCCTGTAGGAAATCAGATAGGCTTGGCCTGACTTGAAGGTCTAAAGGTATGTGGCAGGGAGCAGCCTGCCCTCCTCCATGCTGCTGCAGTAGTTGAAGACCACACAAATGGAGTCACGGCCTCTGTTCTTGGTTGGCCACAGGAACTCCCTCCCAGTCCACTGAGCAGCTGCAGCGAGGGGCAGCCGTGAGTGCAGGTCTGAAGCTAGCGCCCTTCCTGTGGGGTCTGAGATGGAAGCTGGTGAACAGGCTCTTGGCTGCCTCCATTTAGACAGTGGGTGGGTCAGCACAGGCTGCTGGGCCCGCTGAGGAGAGAGGGCTGATACCAGGCCTGCTTTACAAGCGTCAGAGCTAAGGGCCACTTTCCCTTGCCCTGTCACAGCATCAGTCTCCAGGTAAACCCAGGGTGACTGGGTAAGAGGATCAGAACTGCATCTGAAGAAGCCTTTGGGCACCTCTTAAGATATGGAGAGCCGGTTATGATGAAGATATCTTGGACCTAGCCCGTTCCTTTTTTAAAAAGGAAGGATAAGAGCCCCTGTAAGTCTGTAGTATACTTAACACCTGACAGAGTACTTCCCCCAGCAGCCCTGTTTCTCAGATAGAGATATTGAGGGGCAGAGACAAGAAGAATCAAGGTCACCCATGTGAACTACTGGAAGAGCCAGGATTCTGTCTCTAAATCCCATGCTCTTTTTACCCTACCATCCTGTCTTTTCAAGCATACTTACCTTACTCTTTGGTGTCTACCTGTGCTTGGAAGGATCCAGGAGAATGTTAAGATAGAATTGTAGGAGTGGGGAGAAAGGTTTAGATTCCTGGATGAAGCCTTGGACATCTGAAGGCGGTAGAGGATGGGGCAGTCAGGGATACTGAAGGGGAGGGTGTGTGAGCACCTTGATGTAGTCTGTAGGCAGAGGAGGACCAGAGCTGTAACGCTTCCTTTTTAGTGTGCCTCTAACCCTCCAAGTCAGGGGCTCCCACACCTAAATGCAGCTGAACTTGAGGGGGAGGTACCACCATGCTCCTAACCCTGGCCCTTTGCCCTGCAGGCTCCTGTCCAGCTAAGCCTCCAATCTCCCCTCTGCACTCCCTGGGAGTTTTCCTATTGACTTGTGCCCATGCCAGAGCAGGTCTTTTCGGTCTCTCTCTGCAGTAGTCACACTGTGGGCTGTCTGGATAATTAATGTTGGGGGTGAAGCCAGAGGGTTCTCCACAGCTCACTGATGTCCTTCATTGGCACAGGACGACGGGGAAGACTGCACACTCAGTGTCTACAGGCGGCTGCACAACTCCCTGGAACGGTCTGAATTGCCTGCAAAGCAGGGGCTGACAGAGCCTGGGCGGGCACGGGCCGAGGAGCGGGCACGGCCAGCCAGGCCCTGTGCTGAGGAAAAGTGACCCACTGGGCAGGTCCTGTTGTCTCATCTGCTCCTGCTTCTCTCCTTGTCTACTTCCCGCCCACGAAGTGTCTGAGGCCAGGTAACCAGGCTAGACTCAAGGCCTCAGCTGGGAGACTGGGGCAGAGAGCCAGGCCACTGCTGCCCGTTGGGCACAGGAGATCAGAGACTGAAGCTGAAGGAGCCATCCAGGTTAGCCGTACCGTGATGCATGAGTCTTTGCTTTTCACCCCACGCCCCCTGGTAGAGGGAGTCTGGCCACCCCAGTTGGCCAAATGCCTTCTCTCTGCTCCCTGGTGGTCTCTGTATTGGACAAAGGGCAGCCCTGCATGGGGTTACCACCCCACTTCCCTGCTCCTCGCAGTATCCTGTTTGCCCATTTGCCCTAAGGGCTCCACCCAGGGGCTGCCAATGCTCACCCCCCCTCCCCAAAGTTCTTTTTCTCCAACTTGTCAAGCACAGGGGTCCGAGCTGCCTCAAAGAGATCCTTGGTGACCCCTTCTGTGCCCAACCTGTGGCTGACCATGGAGCATGCTGGTTCCCGTTAGAACGGCATCCTCCCAGCCCCCACCGCAGCTGTCTGCTCCGGCTCCCGGGCCTGTGTAGCGCCTTCCTGCCGAGTCCATCACGTCCACCTTGGGCCGGCTCCACCTAGCAGGGCCTCAGCCGGCATGCTGCCTTCTAGGAAGCCCCAGCCGTGGGAAAGGCAGGGAGAAGCCATTTCCCCGAGTCCTGCCTCCCAAAGGATGAGGTCATGGACTGTGAGGATGCCCTCCTGTCTTCCTCCTCCCTCCCGCAGAGGAGGAATCGCACTTTACCAAGCGGATGCATTCCTACAGAAGCGGCCCACGTGCCCGCAAGTCTGCTCTCAGGATGATGGCTGTGGGCGTGTCCCCGGGTCCATACAATGCAATAGCAGCAAGCTTTCCCGGAGCCACGTGAGTAAAACTGGGCTTCGTTTCCTTCATACATGCTCACAAGAACTGCATATTCCCGGCCGCCTTTCCTGTAGCATTCTCTCAAAGAAGATCCCTCAAAAACTGCATTCATAAAGCAGGCTGCTGCTGCCTCCATAGCATTCAACCAGGAGTCGGGAATCCTTTGTTTTCCTGGCAGCTTTGCTACTTGCTGGCTGTGTGACCTTGGACAAATCATTGTTCTCTCTGGGCCTCCGTTCCCCCATCTATAAAATGAGTTCTCGGAAATAGATGATATTGAAGGACCTCAGATTCCTGTTTTCCACTCTCCGTTCCACATGGGATAATTTTCACGTTTGAAAGGTGTTTCCTTCCGGCCTCCTCCTGTTGCTTTTCTGGGCCTTATTTCCAGGTGCCCCATGTTTTAAACTCAAGGGCATAGGCTCCGAGAAGCTCTGTCGGCTTGTTTCCAGTCTGTGAAACGGGGCTCCTGAGGCCTGATACTGACCTTGCCCAGATGCCAATGTTGTTCCATATTCCTGCTGTGTAGCTCCTGTGCCTGTGCCTGCCTGTGAATTTCCTGGCAAGAAAGTTGGCCTCCTGAAGTCTGCCTTTGACCTGTGTGGGCCTCAGCATGCCCCAGTCTTCTTCTGCATAATCTTCCCGGGGGTGGAGTGAGGAGCCTTTGCCTTCCTCGCAGGGACAGGGATGTCGAGCACGTACTTATATTTTCGTGAGATTTGCCAATCCGAGGGCATTGTCATGTGGCTTGCCTTTCACTCCACACCCCTGCCTTGAATGCACAGCTTTAAAATACTATTTTCAAGATTCTTCCTGCTGTTTCTGACCCGAGTCACAGGCCAAAAATGAGCAGGCTCAGGGTACAGCCTCCTTGCCATTCTTCACCAGTGGGCAACCCTGAGAGTCCAGTGGAGACTGACCTCTGTGGTGGTCAACCAGAGGGCCTGGGGAACCGAGTCCACGGCTGTGCCCCAAAGATCTCGCCAACCCTTCTCACCTTTGGGCCTGGGAGCCTTGGATTCTGGTGCTGTAGCTCCTGGTGCCAAAGTCTGGATCTTTCTACATTTCAGTAGTGCCATCGTCTGCCACTACCCGATGCTCTGTGGAAGAGGGACAGCCGTGGCACCCTCTTGCTGGGACTGCTACCTTGAAATTGAGTGCAATAGGGTTGATTGTAACCATTACTTCAGGATAAATATTGTTTCCTAAATCTGCACACTTTCTAGAACCGCTGTAGGTTTTATTGACAAATGTTCTCAGCATTGCAGAAAGTACCAGTGTCACAGCAAAGCAGAGGCTGGAGGCTCAGTTCCTCTGGGCCTCACATGGCTCACTGCTGGCAAGGCTAACTCCCAGACTCCAAAGTTAGAAGGCACACTAAAATGAAACCCAGGTGTCTGCCCCCAGGTTTCACTGTGGGGCCCTGAGTAGTGCTGGTAGAGGAGTAGTTGGTTAATCAAGCCAAATGTGTCTACTGTTCAGCCAACAAACTCACTGGATGACAAGTGTCTGTTGCAGCCGTAAAACCCCAGGCAAGTGTGATTGTTGGAAGGGCTTCAGGTGAGGTTGGGGACCTGGCATTCCAGAGCTGCTGGGCTGGCGAAATGCTGGGAGCTAGTTTCTTCTACCTGCTGCTCTTGTCTCTCCACTCCGACACAAAAGCAACCCGGACAGCCGCACAGGGTGGTTTTGTTTAACGATGAAACAGCCATCTTGCGGGTTAAAGGCCTTTGCAGTGGGGTCCTTCCAGAGGGCCGTGAGAAGCTGCAAGCAAGCTTGCACATTAATCACCCTCTTCAGGGGTGTGGTTTCTTTGTGGGTCTTGGACTGTCATCCTGGGGCAGCTTTAGTTCTTTGTATTTAATGCATCAGTGCCAAGTGCTACCGCTACCTGGTAAAGGAATGGGGGGCTGGAGGCCAGTGGCTCCTTGGCTGCCTCTGATGGGGTGGGGTTTTTGTTGTTGTTGTTGCCCTGACAAGACTGCTTTGGAAGAGCTGCTTTTAGGAATCACCCTCTGAACGCCCCAGTGGGGACAGGGCTCTCCTCAAAGGCTCACACCAAGATCATAGGAAAGGGGCCTTGATTTTCCTGCTGCTTCACAGCTCAGAACATGGACTTAATGGAATGTATTTTTAAGAGAATAAAGTCTATTTTTTTGTATTTTAAAGATTGGGAGGGCTAGGGAAGTAGCCCTCAAAACTGTTACTGCATTATTGGCCCTTTGCTGGGGCGTCCATCTGCATCTGTCCACACCTCTGTGCCCAGGCAGCTGCTCAGCCTCTCCCCTGCCCCGGAGTCCAGGGGCAGTAGCTTCTCTATTCCTGCTCCCAGCACGGGACCCTGGCAGCCAGCTCCTGCCCCTGCCCCTGCCCCATGGAAACCAGGGCTCCTCGGGGGCATGTGTGGAGCTGGAGCGCCATCTGCATGTCTCCTCTGCGTTCTGGCCTCTGTGGCACCACAGTACATTATGTAACCAATAAAGCTCTCCCATGTCCCTGTTCTTGTAGTGTGTCCATGCGGCTGGTGTGCTCACTTGGGGTTTGTGAGGGTGCAGTTGGTGCAAACCAGCAGCTGCCACTGCGTCTGGCAGCCAAGTACCCTAAGGCCACAAGTTAACTGTAGACTGGGTAGGGTTCAAAGTCCACATACTTTGTTTTCACCTACTGTCCCTACCTCCAGTGACACTGCTTGCCCTGATCCTGGTATGTGGATTCTTTCCACAGTTGTCATTTATTCCAAGACCAGGGGCACAGGGAACAAAAAACTTTCAATCACACCATCAGTATAATGTCTCTTAAGTCCTGCTCCCGCCATCCCGTCAAACCTGACTCCCGGTGCCCCGTGTGCAGAGCAGAGCTGCTCCAGAGCTCTCAAGGCTGACCTTCCAGAAGCAGCTTCCCGGCCTCTGAGGGGATCTGAACTGCCAACCTTTCCACTTGTGTACATATGCGTGTAGAACTGCCACCCAGAGATTTCCTTAAAAGCCTCACTTATGAGCACTACAGAAAGAACTGACCATAAGTGAGATCTATGATTCCCATCGAGTGGGTTCTGGCCCGTAGCGACCCTCTGAACAACAGAACAAAACACTGCGCCAGCCTCACAACTGTTCCTGTGCTGGAGCCCATTGTGGCAGCCATGGTGTCTGTTAGTCCATCTCTGTGAGGGCCAAACACGGTGTCCTTTCGAGGGACTGGACTATCCTGACAGCATATCCAAAGTATGTTAAGATGAAGTCTCACCATCCTTCCCTCTAAGGAGCACTCTGGCCATATTTCTTCCCGAACAGATTGGCTTGTCTTTTGGCAGTCCACAATACCTTTAATATTACTCTCCAGCACCACAATTCAGATGCATCAATTCTTCGGTCTTCCTGATTCAGTGCTGTGGGTAGTACCTAGTATGTGTTAAGGCAGTGGTTCTCAACTTTCCTAAGGCTTCGGCCCTTTAATACAGTTCCTCATGTTGTGGTGACCCACCCACCACCACCCCCCGGCCCCCAACCATAAAATTATTTTTGTTGCTTCTTCATAACTGTAATTTTGCTACTGTTATGAATCGGGTGACCCCTGTGAAAGGGTCGTTTGACAACCCCCCAAGGGGGTCACGACCCACAGGTTGAGAACTGCTGCTCTAGACTGTTCTCCCATGTATGCAAGTACTGGAGGCAGAATGGCCACGCAGGATCATCCCCCTTTCGATGCTCAGCCATCCTTGAGTTTGAGTTTGAGTTTGTTCTAGAAGGGAAAAAAGCTCTTGCAACAAAAAGGAACACCTAATTCCTTCCCCAAAGCTCGTAACACAGCACTTCTCAACCTGTGGGTCCTGGACCCCTTTGGGGGTCAAATGACCCTTTCACGGGGATTGCCTAAGACCATCAGAAAACACAAATATTTCACAATATATCATTACATATTTTGTGATTAATCACTGTGCTTTAATTATGTTCCGTTTGTAACAATGAAAATACATCCTGCATATCAGATATTTACATACGATTCATCACAGTAGCAAAATGACAGTGATGAAGTAGCAATGAAAATAATGTTATGGATGGGGGTGGGGGGGGTCCCCACCACATGAGGAACTGCATGAAAGGGTCTCGGCATGAGGAAGGTGGAGAACCACTGCTCTAGAGCACAAAGTGGAGGTTGGGTTGGGACCCTGGATCTTTTCCTACAATCTGAAAATGAAGAAATGTTATCATTCTCTTCATTTCCATACAGACTGACTGACCTATTCCAGGGTCATTTAGTATTAATTCACTTAGCGCTGTCAAGTCGATGCGGGCTCTCTGTAACTAGATAGGACGGTAGAACTGCCCCTGTTGAGTTCCTGAGACAAACTACCAAAGTAGAAAGCCCAGCCTTTGTCCCAAGGAGCAGCTGGTGGTTTAGAACAGCTGACCTTCCAGTTAGCAGCCCAGTGAGTAACCACACCACCACAAGGGTGCCTATAATTAATACTGAACAGCCAAGTAGTCTTCAAGGAGCTCTGGTGGCACTGTGATTAAGTGCTCAATGGCTAACTGAAAGATCTCGTTCGACCCCATCAGCCACTCAGAGGAAGATGTGTCATTCGACGTCCATAAGGCTTAAACAGTCGAGTTGGACCCTCTCAGTGGCACCAAACTAAGGCTCTTGTACACAGAGCAAATGACGTTGACTCTGGATGATTTTAGAAATTGGACACAAGATGTTAAACTGGTGGAATCACTCCTGGCCCAAGGTCCAGCGTGACAGCAAGATGACTAATGGGTGGGGAGGGGTCTGGGCTTTGGTTCATTTGCCAATAGAGTAACGAATACTAGGTTGCTGTGGACTTAACCGTTTACACCTGCCTGTCTGTCAAGTTGACCATTGTCGACACTGAGTCAGCTCCAACTGGGTGACCCTATGTTCAATAGAACAAAATCTGCCCAAGTCACTGCTGCAGCCCCCCAGGGACTATCTTGTTGAGGACCTTCCTCATCAGCTGACCTATCAAGATGAGTGGAGACCTTTATAACCAACCCATAGCCCCCTTTCTCCAAAGTGGCCAAACCATGCACAAGGAGACCTTCCAGCTGTTTTAAGTTCCTTTCCCTTTAACAACCTTGCTCATCTGATGTACAGAAAGCAGTCACAGACTTACAAGTGCCTAGGAGGAGTTCTGTGACGCTCTGAGGAGCCCTAGAACTGACTTTGAGAGGGTGAAGGGGGGAAGCCCAGGCGCGACACACAGCAGGACCTAAATTCTGCTTCCTTTATGTTGAGGTTTGAAGAGTGGAAGAGACTGACAAGTGAGTCCCTTGCTCAGACAGTGAAAAACCATGCTGGTACATCCTTCTAAAGCACGGAGACCAGAGACCCCTCTGAGATCATGAGCTGTTCACCCAGCCAGTCCCTGTGTCTTTGCAAAAACACCTGGAATGGGAGTACACAGATGGTTTGGGAATCAAAAGTTTAAAAGCGGTAAATAGTGCCTGACCTTGATTCCACACCATCATGGGTTCTGTGCTCGAGTGGTTATGGGCACAAGGACCAGCAGTTCCTCAGTGGAGGTGGGTCAGAGGTGTCCTGTCCTAACAGCTGCAAGCCTGAACTACTGGTAACCTTTTATTCTCAGGCTACTCAGTACTTAAGATCAGAGTACCAGGAAAGCCAACTGCATCACACAGCCAGGGCTCTCCTACAAAAGCTACAGGTTCTCTTGCCTGAGCCTAAGAATGTTGGCATTCACAGAACATAATAGCACGTTCAGTTCAAGAGCACCAGGTTTGTTACTAGGCCACTGCTGCCTCGGGACCTCAGGGCCTGGGAGTACAGGTGTGGTAGGGTGCAGTGCCATCCTGGGGTGAGAAAAGGTAAACAGGGGCCCAAATGTAACCTTGTGTCCTTATAAAATGGGAGACAGGAACCTGACACAGGAAGAGACGGCAGTGTGATGACAGAGACTAAGAAACATGTTTTAAAGATGGAGGAAAGGGCCACAGCCAAGCAATACCAGTACCATGGAGAAGTGGAGGTGAAGTAACATGGATTTGTCCCACTGCCTCCAGAGGGAACCCAACCCTAGGGACTGCTTAGACTTCTGGCCCAGAATTGTGAAGAGAATCAAGTTCTGTTTTAAGACGCTAAGCCTGTGGTACCTTTTACAGCAGTAACATCTATATATCAGCTAAATGACATCTTAAGTCCAATCCTTGTACCCCATTATCTTCAACAAAGTTAATACCTACGTGTGGATGGAATGTGGGGAATATGTCTACCAATACGTCTACCAGAGACCCAGAGTTTCCTTATATCCACAGGCTTGACCAACAAGCGGCTTCATACTCTTGGCACACGGCCACATATTCCCAGTGGAGACCAATGCATACATTGCTGTCACTACAGGGCTACACTGGCGTTTCTACTGGAGTAATACCTGTGTCTATAACTCCAACCCAAAGGAGAAACAAAAAAACATAGGATGCATTTTATATGAAGTTTTATTCCCAAAATATTAAAAAAAATACACTAAAAGACTAAGCTGTTATTCCACAGTGCTTGCCACCTCCATCCTTACGCAAAGCATGGAGTCCCAGACAAAGAGGTGCATTCTCTCTGCTCCAAGTCATTTAAAGGAGGCTCCTCTTCTGGCCGCTGGCGCAAGCCGGTGCTGACCACGAACCCTGGCCAGGTTCTCAGTGACTCTAGCATTGCTAGCAGAGCCCTGCAGCCTCACATGCTCGGGGATTGCTGTGCGGGGACGCTGGGCGTGGCCTGGCGAGGCAAGGTGTACATGGCTCCCAAAAACTGGTCCGCAATCCTTCCTGCTTCTCGCAGCCCACTCAGCAGAGCACCATGGACTGTGGCTGGATAGTTACGGATTGTATGTTCTCCGGCGAAGAAGAGTCGTGGAATTGGCTAGTTCAGAGGGGAGAGACAATCAGTGGGTTCTGCAGTTACACCTGTGTTTGAACAGACTAACCCCTACCCCCACTCGGCCCCCCCCCCCTCCACCCCACCTGTTACTAGCCAGTGAACTTCCCAAAACGGTTTCTTGCATCTCCCTATCTCCCTCCCCAGGAAGCAGCTTCCTAAGTTCTGACAAGCAGATATGGAGCGACCAAACCACCTCCCCCTCAGCTCCACTTGGCTGGAGCCAGTAGTTTCCCTTGGGGGAGACTCAGCACTAGAGCTCCCACATTCCCTTCCGGGACACCAGCTCTGCTCTTCCTAAGGGCCCTTGCCTCCCACTAGGATGCCCGGGGCAGTCCCCACCCTGGGCTGGGCTACCAGGAAGCCTTGCTGCTCTCTGGAGCAGGACCCCAGCCTCGTCTTGAGCACTTTTTTTTTCTCAGGACACGCCTGGGAAGCCTCTAGTGAGGGTACAAGGACCAATCTTGGTCTTGGGAGTCAACATGAATTCTCCGGCAAGTGGAATGACTCTTCCTCTCCCCCTCTTCTTTTGATCGTCGGAGAGTCCAGTGATAGACTAGATTCTAAAAACCACTGGCACCACTTTTCTCCTGAGAGATGAGCCTCTTCTCAGGAAGCCCAGGTGTGCTGTCCAAGTTTCTCACCTGTGGGGCGCCTGGAATTGAGGGGCCGGGAGTGATTGGCTGAGCCATTAAATCATAATCATTTCCAGATGATCCTGCAGCAACATAAGAATAGGAGCCTCGGGCCCAAGGATCAGCACGCCAGCGAGACACCACTGTCTCCTTGGGCTGTGGAAAAAGCATGAGCTAAATCATTCTTCGAGACCAAGGACAAACCTGGCTCTGAAGGGAGGCAAAGCGCCGGTGGTCAGAGGACAAGTGCACCAGGAGCACCAGCCTGGAGGTCAGCTGCAGTTCTCACATGCAGGCACAAAAGGGCCTCCGCAGGCAAGGCCACCTCCATGTTGCTGCCCTGCCGGTGACGCCAGAGCTCTTCACGGGACTTAGGATTATCATGAGGGGCTCAGTAAACACAGTACATGGATCAGGCTTCCTAGGCCAGTCATCAGAGCTTGGCTACTGAGTCACAGGGCAGAGGAGCAGGATACAGGGGAGACAGGCAGGTGGCAACGTAGGCTTCATATCCTCACATACTGGGGGCTTTTCTACACTCCCACCACCCCTTACTATTCGTATATACCCAGTTCTGGCAGAACCTATCATAACCAAGCACCTATGCTGTAAATGATACCAAGGTGGAGTTAGCCAAGCTCCAGGTCCAAGTCACCCACACACAACACTTACCTGGGGCACTGCGCTGCTGCCAAAAATCCCCTTGAGAATGGCCAGGCATCGGCCAACAATCACATCATCGCTGATGTTTTCCATGATGCCAGCAGCCTCTCCTGCCACCAAGGCCAGCAGTATTGGAGCTAGGGAAGCGGAAGCGACAATTCCAGGTTTTCCTACAGACTCCTCAGCTTCCCTAAGGTCCACACCACCCTTGGTTCGTTGAAATCGAACAGGCAGCCTCTGACCATGCAGCTCTATGCTACCCCTCAGGAGCAGCTGGCAGCCAGCAGGGAGTTGCCTCACAGGCCTGTCACTGCCCCCAACTGCAAAGGACCTAGATCCAAGAAGCACAATCCCAAGCTTTTCTTGAAATACCCGACGGCATCACCCCAGGTCCTTCCTCCATCACGAGTCTTCTCACACATTCCATGAATATTCAACAGGATCGATGTTGGGGAGATTAGGACCATAAGCTAGGGTATACACTCTATTCAACCAGCAGGTTTTGAATCACACAGCCAGGTAATTAGCAGCAGTACTGACAGCTGTGCAGAAAGGCATCAGCCACTCGGAGAACATAAGCACTGACATTACAGCTGAGACATGGCGGTAGCAGGCTCTAGGAGGTCTGTTTGGAAAAGATCAAGCCCTGAAGGCTGAGGAAGAGTCGACCAGGCTGGGGAAAGGAAGGTGGAGTGGTGGGTAACAGTCCAGGCCCCGGCCATTGTCCATGCGGAGGCCCTTAAGAACAGGCAGCACAATGCATTCTGGGATCAAGATGAGACAGAGGTGCCAGGAACAGGTAAGGCTAGATAGAGTCTGAGGGACCTGAGCTCCCCACACCCCACTCCACTAGACGGGCCGCCGGCCTCTCCAGGCAGTCCCCACTGGGTGGCACTCCTGACAGGCACTTGCAGCCCTCCTTGTTGGGTCAATGGAAAGAAGCAAGGTGTGTACATTGGAGACTGCTCAGGCTCTTCCTGAGCTGTGAGAAAGAATACAACAAAGGAACAGTTACCTTTATAGAGGTTCCAGAATAGGAAGAGCTCCCCCCGGCTGGCAGTTGTACTGCCAACATGCCCAAACAGGTTGACACTTGGGTCCCAGAAAACTCGGTCAAAGCACAGGACCACCTATCAGGAGGGAGGGCACGTGAGTTGGTGGGGGATTCCGACATTGTGGCGAAGCAGAGCTGTGCCTCAGGAAGGACTTTCTTCTGCCTGAAACCTCAAGGTCCCCTCTAATCTACTTTCCATCTAAGCCCAGAAACCCTGATGACAAACGGTCCCATGTGACACCACGTTTAGGAGTCCTTTTTGTAGGCCCGAGGAGCCCTGGGGGTGAAGTGGTTACTCGTTGGGCTGAGATCCGTATGGCTGGAAGTTTGAAACCACCAGCAGGACAAAGACTGGGCTTTCTACTCCCATTAATAATTAGTCTTGGAAGCCACAGGGGGTCGCTATGCATCAGCAGTGACTCCGTGGCAGCGAGTGAAGGAGAGGTGAGGTTTGGAAGCGTGGGTTTGCCAAGTGACCCACAAGGCTGAGGTGGAATTCAACCCAAAGGGGGTGAACTGGCAGGCCTCGGCCTCCATCTCACAGGCGGTGGTGACACAGAACCAGCCCCGGCCTGCCCCGCCCCCAAGTGGGGTTGTCCCACGGATACACTCAGCTGCTTACCTTGTTAAGGTTGCCAAATCCCATCCTCTGGACTGCAGATGTTTTCCACTCAGGAAGGGGGGGCACAAACTGAACAGCTGGAGGCTGCTGCTTCAGCACCCCCAGGGGAAGGGTGCAGAGCACGGCATCGCACTTATAAATGAAGGTCTGGCTCGTGGAGCGGGTGTTCACAGCGATGACTTCACAGCCTGGGGGTAAAGAGGGCAGACTGAGTGCTAGTGCATGGGGTCTCTGCAGGGGCACATTGCCACAGGGCCACCAGTCAGAGTCCACACGATCAGTGGGGACAGGACTGGACCTCTAAAGGTCACCTCTGTTACTGGTCCCTTCCTGGCACAGCGGTGAGCTTTTGGACAATGAAAGGAGCCACCACTTAGCAATGTGACATACAACCCAAGTGAAATGTGTTTCCTAGGACAGCTAGCCACCACCCCACTGTGCCAGGAACCCCGAGCTGCTTCTTGGAGAGGGCCAGGAACTTGGAGCAGGCAGCCGGAATCACTTAGCTCTCGAGCCTGCACCTGGATGCTGAGCTTGTCACAATGTGGATGGGCTGGAAGTGAGCAGGGAAAGAGAACTCAAATATATTTCACTTTTTTGTGTGCCTGATTCTTTTCTTCCCCGAATATAGATTATTTATCTAACTTTAAAATATATGAACAGCTCCAGAGAAGCATGGGAGTTCAGTACACACCCACCCCTCTAAGGAAAGACAGCCAGAGTGGGCCTGCCCAGCACACAGCACGCTTCCCGCACCGCAGTCTCAGTGGCATTGCAGAGAAAAGAAACTGGGAGGCCGTTTCAGGGATGCGCCCCGTTAGCACCAGGGGCACTCAGTGCCCCACGGTCTGGCTTGGCAGCCACACAAGGGCCTTCCATGAAGGTCGGTCATCGGTCCAGAAGCTAGACCACCAGTTCCGAGGGCGGAGGAGTGGACAAAAGAGTTTCGGCCTCTTGACTAGCAAACCCTGCAGTCAGCAACAAGCTCTGAGCGACAGCTTCACTGGCCCAGGGCAGGGCCCCCACGTAAGTGAGGGAGCAGCCACAGCCGCCAGGGCAGGAAAGCCAGATGGACTCAAAAGTCCGAGACACGGGAGATGTATGGAATGGGAGGGAACTTGAATCCAAGGACCCCAAACCCCACCAGTCTATTCAGGAATACATTTTGCCAAATTAGATACAAACGCCCTTGTTGTTGCTACAATTCGCCGTTAATAACAGCAAATTAATTCAGGCCCAAATGGCAAATCTCAAGCTTGTGTCAGTTTCTTGATTTCTAAAAAGGGGTTTAAAACCACCAAAGGCACTACAGGCCCAATTGTTCTAGTAATGCAAACACTTTACTCAGGAGCATGGTTTGTAAAATATCCTATCAGGAAATGGGGCCAGTGTTCTTGCTGTAGGTCCAGCACAAAACAAGAACAGGGAGTGGCCCAGCTCAGGGAAAGGGAGCCGTGTACCTGAAGCAGTGTAGCGAACCTGCCGAACTGCTGTGTTCAACTTAATGTCCAGGCCTTCCGCTAACGCCACAGGCACACAGGAGTAGCCATTCCGCACTGTCAGGTGGCTGCCAGTGAACTCGAAGTCGTCGTCCTAGAGAGAAGGGCAAAAGGCATGTGTCCAGTCGTGCATGTCAACAACTTCTAGGAATAGTCAATCCATTACAGTGCAGGTTAAAGACCCACCACTCAGCACTGCATTCGGCTGCCCAAGGAAACTGAAGAGGAAAAGAAGAAAATGCCTAAATGTTCTGTCCGGAAGGCTGTCCAGGCAGTGGGAACCAGGGCAGCTATTTGACTTAGGCTGTGTGTCCTGACATCCCGATTGTGGCGGTAAGCCAGGCTCACTGGTCTGATTAAGACGGTAACTGCCAAGGAGCATAATCAGTTTTCATTCCTCCCAAGCGCTGACGGGCTTTAAAGGCCAGGGAGACACACCACCACAGTGGGTTCACCCAGTGCATTGGCTCCCAAGTCAATTGGCCTACAGCCCCCTTTCCAGACAAAAACTATTCAGCATCCCCTGGCAATGAAAAACTTGTTTAACTCTAGCCCATCATCCAGGATAAAGTATCGGTGTCTGCTTTTGCAGCCCCCGCTTCTCCCGCAGGATCGTTCCGCGCACTCTGCAGGGTGGCATCGCCCACTCTGGGAACACTGAACTAGGGGAGAAGCTGGGAACAGCGCTGCAGCCAGCCCTGACCTGGAACCCCTGAGGAAGTCAAAATTGGACCTACAAAAGACAGACAAATCTTTGACTTCACTGCTTTTTTTTTTCTACCTAGGAAATGTAAAAGCAAACATATCTAATTTTATGAAATTCCTGGGGAAAAATGTGTCACAAATAAATTAAATACCAGACTGGCAAGAAAACTCAGATCAGATCTGTTCCAATCACCCACATTCAGAAGTTCACACTGCGAAAAAGGGATGCACACAGAAACTTCACAGGCTAAATCAGAGAGGATCCAATTTAAGATTTAATAAGAAAGCACAAAGGAGCTCTGAAGTCTGCAAGATGTTTATCCTAATAAATTTGATGTGTACTATAATTCAAACATTAAAGAGCATCGTAGGGATATCATCGCAAGATTAAGTAGTCAAAATTACTAGAAAATGTACCATAACATTAAAATATGCAAGCAAAAAAATTATTTACTTCTATCGTCATGGCTTAATCAAAGACTCAGAGTTAGAGACAGGTCCATTCAATACTCAAGAAGTCCCAGGGTGCGTCACACGATGAGCGCTGAGTAAATTACACTCAAAACACTTAGAACAAATTTAACAAAGGGTGTAGAAGATTTGCACACTGAAACTATAAAACCTTCACACCACGATGATGAAGGGAAACGTAAGGGAATGAACAGATATACTGCGTTCAAGGAATGAAAGGCTCAATGTGTGAAGATAGCAATTCATCCTCCTGGATCTCTAAATTCAATGTGTTTCCGGTCAAAATCTCAGGAGGCATTTTTAATGGAAATTAACATGCTCTTTGGAAATAAAATATAGAAGAACCAGAACAATTTTCAGAAAAGAGCAAAGTTTGGGAACTTACACTGCCTAGTTTCAGACTTATTATTATAAGTAACTAATGAAGACAGTGTGATATTTGGCATCTGTCCGGACACAGAGGTGACCGGACAATGAGGAAGCCACGTGTACATGGTAAATGATTTTATGACAGATGCCAAGCCAGATTTTAAAAAAATGTTGGTGCAAGGAAAATTTGATATGGAAAAAAAAGAGACTTGCCCTTACCACTCATGAAATGAAAATAGTGGCTCAAAATAGGCCACAAATCTAAATATAAAACCCAAGTCCATCAAATGCTGAAAGAAAACACAGGAGAAAATCTTTGCAAACGGGTTATAAAGATTTTTTCAGGGCACAAAAACAGAAACCATAACAGAAAAATTAGTTGAGTTCCTAAAAATTAAGAGCATTTGCTTTTTTAAGAGTCTGTTTAGAATCATGTTTCCCAAAAGGTAGGTGTGTGTGTGGGGGGAACATACTGCAAAAAATCTTAACACTTTTATCCTGCCTGGATGATGAGCTATGGTACAAACATCTTTAATCTCCAGGGAAGCGCTGAGTAATTTCTTTCCTGAAAAGGGGGAAGTAGACCAAGTCAGTTTGGGAACCTGTGCTTTAGAAGATGAAATACACATCGGGCTGCTAACCACAAGATCAGCAGTTCGAAATCACCAGCAGCAGCTCCTTGGGCAGAAGCTGAGGCTGTCAGCTCCCGGGAAGCTTTATGGGGCCGTTCGTACAGGCTCTCTAGGACTCAGTCTACCTGATGGCAGTGAGTCTGATTTGGTTTTGGTTTAGAAGATGAAAAGGCAAACCACAGGCCACATTAAAACAAATCCAGCAAAGAAAGGACTTATATCCCAAATACAATGAGTTGAAAGAAACCAGACAACCAGACTTAAAAATGGGAAAACTATTTTAACAGACAGCTCACCAGAGGAGATATCTGAATGACCCAATCAGTCATTAGAGAAATGCAAACTGAAATCCATTTAAAATAATAAAATTCTAAAAATTCCCAATGTCAAATGCTGGTGAGGCAACGCCATACATAGGTGGGTAGGAATGCAATTTGGAAAATGCCTTAAGAGGTTTCTTATAAAGTTAGCCATCTACTTTCCATATGCCCCAGCAGTTTCGCTCCTAGATAATTACCAAATGGGCAGACACAAGTGTTCACAGCCGAAGCTAAAAAATTTGAAACAATTCAATATTTGTGGATAAATACTATGTATACAGTGAAACACTACTAAAGAATAAAAAGCTACCAACTATTGGTACACATGGCAACACATACATTTCCAAACAATTCATGTTCACCTTAAAAACATCATGGTAAGTGAGAAAAGTCACACATATAGGGTTAGGCATGGGATGCTTTTATAATGTATGATTCAATTAGCATGGCATTTTAGAGAAACCAAAAACCGTAGTGAGAGACAGCAAATCAGAGTTTTCACTAAGCCCGGAGGGCGGCCCAGGAACAGAGCGAGCTTCTCGGTGGTGGGGAGGCTCTATCCTTGTCTGCAGTGCAGGCTTGCCACTCCGTGTGGCAAAACCGCTACTGCTCATTTAAAGCAGGCAAATGGTACTGTTTGGTCACTATTATCACTTAATAAAGCTGTTTAGATAAGACACATACATGTAAGCAAGCAGTTTTTCTTCAGTCTGCTCAAAAACAGTGAAAAGTTAGAGGAATTTTACCTGATCCCAGTGTTTCAGGGAGAGGGTGGAGAGAGGTGTGGCGTTCGCAAATTCAAGATTTGCAAAATGCCAATCAAGTATCTGTCTGTCTCTTGAGGATAGATATACGTCACTGCAGAGGAAAAGCAGAGGAGAGCAAGGTTACCCAGGACGCCGGGTGGCTCCCTCAGCAACCAGGCCCCACCTGCCTGCAACCTGGCTCCCGCTCTCTGTGGTGCTGACAGTACTGTCCAGCCCAAGAGCTACAGCAAAGTACAACTTGGTCTCATTGTCTGGGAAAACAAACAAACAAACCAACCCCAACATTTCCCTCCAGGTAAAACCTTCAATCACCTGGCATTACAAGAGCTTCTGCACTGTAGGGGGGTTTGTTTCCTACTGTGAAGAAAACAGTCTAAAGCTAGGGCGGGAAGCATCCCCCTGACTCCACAGCTAAGGAGGTGCTCGTGGAAGATCCTGCTACCCAATAGTAGCCCAGAGGCGCACCTCAAAGATCCAGGAAGCATTAAAACCCTCCTGCTCCCCCAAATTATGAAAAGCTCAAAGGGCACAGCCCTATCCCACGCCGAGAAGTGACGGTTCACCCACTCCAACGTCACTGACGTCCCAGCTCTGTGGGGAAAGGACGTCTCTTCAAGAGCCCTGACAGGCGTTCTGCATGCAGCCACACACTCGGACACACAGGGGGACAGGGGTGCGCGTGTTCACAGGTGTTTCCACTCCAACAATTTAAAGCTCATTCACCAAACATCCAAGGGGCTGCAGAAGGCTTGTGGAGACACTGCAGTATCATTCCATTCCATCTTTCCAACCTGCTGAAGCCCCCTTGCACACACACATTCATCCATTCAATACAAATAAAGCACACTGGACTTTCTAGTAGCTGTCCTCCCCAGAGTGACTAGACAGAAACTAAGTAAGAGAAACTTCTCAATGCTGCTGCTCCTTTCCTTACCTTGGGGGGTTGGCTTCTAATTCTTGCAGTTTTTCTTCTAGCTTTCCTTGTGTTTCAGCCAATTCATCATATTCCTGATAAAATGAAGTAAAGGGGTTATCTTGATGGCCAACTAGCCCCCAACTTGTCTGATGGTCTGTGTGGACCAGTGGCGGCGGTGGGGTATAACTTAAAGGTGGGTCAGAGTTCTTGGACATAAGGTACAACTATAAGCCTAGAATGAGGTGGTATAGTGGGGGTTCAAAGGTGGAAGACAAATGAGAAGAAACACATGAGTGTGCTGAGAAATAGAGATTTTTTAAAAATAGCATCTACCAATTCCTGGGCATTTCCCATAGAATAGGGACAAGAACATTGGCCACATAATTTAAGTTTCACAATTACCCAGCTAGTTAGGTATTATCAACACTAAAGTACAGATGAGGTGATTAAGGAATTCAAGGTAACATTAACTAGTGGATACTCGATAACTGGTCCATGCTTCCCACGATCAGGGATACACGGAGTGGCAGAGGCCGGGGCGGGCAGTAAGTCAGCTGCAGGGCAGAGAAAGCACAGACAGGCTGGGGGTGAGCCCTGTCTCCCTGCTGCCCTCCCACACCGCCCCGGGCGGGCTGGAGCAGCTCTCCTCTCGGGAGTGCCCGGCCTGCACTGTGTCTCAGCACGACCAGTCAGAGGGGCCGGCCCGCTTATGCAGCGCACCTTGCAGAGAGCAGTCAAGTCCCTGTGCTTGCTTTTCACTAAGAACTCGGCGGTGATATCTCTGGGGGGCTTCACTTCGGATGCTTCTTTGTACTGCTGATGGAGTTCTTTAATTTTCTCTTTCAAATTGACCATCTAGAGGGGAAACGAACGAACGAACAAAAATACCAATGTGCATTCTAGGTGGTGATGTAATCGGTCCCCAGTGACACCGCACTTGGCTCTGGCTTCTCCCCACAAATGCGAACAGCCACAGCCAGACCATGGTGCCCAGCCTCGATGCGTCTGGCTCCCTGCGTCATCAGCAGGGCCTTCAGGTACCCCGCTGTGGCTGGCAGTAAGGGGGCTCTCTTCCCGAACAGATGGGAGAGCAAGGAGTAGTACGCTGATTGGGGACAATTCCATGTCTAGGAAAAACAAACTGCCACCTATTTAAGTTAAACTTACTTTGGGAACCAGATGATGATGATGGCTGTCTTTTAAAATGGCTAACAGGTCAAGTCGTCATAGAAACAAGTGTCAGGTACCCTTCCTGATGTTCTTTTTCTCTCCCTTTCTGACAGGTGGTATACACCAGACACAGGTGATGGCTAGCGCTTTAGACGGTGGGACCCTCAGGCCTCCTGTCATTGGGCAGTGTCCTGGCCACTCCTCCTCAGGCACACTTTGAAGCATGGCAGTAGGCCAGAGGTTTCAGTTGGCAGCAGGTGGAGACCAGCCCAGTGATGTACTGAGGCAAAGAGCCTACGTCATATTAAGCTTTTCAGGCAAAAAAAAATTACTGTGTCCCCAAGGCAATTACAAACTTTTGTACTACAGGCTAAACTCCAGGATAAAGTGCAGGCATCTGTTTCTGCAGCCTCTCTAGAACACTCCAGAGGGGTCGGTATGCGCTGTCCGCTTTGGGAAACATGGGCTGAGTAACCAGATGCACCCAGACTTTGCATAAAGAAGACCCCACTGGGGTTGTTCCACTTCAAGCCTCACTATTATGATCAGTGGAACTTGACCCAAGTTAGCAGACTTCCCTCTAATCAAAGACTTCGGCAGAGAGCACTGGCCAGTTTTGAAGCTGGCCAGTCAAGGGAACCTGACCCAAGGAAAGCTCCATTTCCCAGCAAAGATCGACCAATAGCGTCACATTTTTTACCCGTGGGGGTACATGGTGCCTTCTGCTGCTCGGTACTTTCTTAAGAACCATGAGTCCTAAACTGCAGGCTGTCTCCTCCACAGAGAGACAATAAATCAGGATTGCTTTTAAAATGTATAAATCAAAGGTTATTTCTTTGTTCTCAGTAAGGCTTCACCTATAAAGAAAATTGAAATTTCACCTTATTAAGGAGTTCTTTCAATTCCTCCTGGGTCTTCACAATCTTCTTCCAGTGTTCGATCTGCTCATCTTTGACATGTTTCTCCTGCAACCTAGGAGAGACACACACACGCCCTGGCCACACAGCCTGCCTGGGGCACAAGCCTGGTGCCTGCAGACACTCCTCGACACCAGGTCTGGTGAAACTGTCAACACTTAGGAACAAGAAAGTTGGCTGGGGACAATATTTTTTAGGCTATGTGTCATACAGTCCTATCTCACAAACACAACAAACTGTTGAATGGAAAAGACTTAGGTCAGTAATGACCTGAAGGGTTTGGTGTTTGGGTTTTTTTCATTTGAGTTCAACTCTATCCCAGGAAAGTGAGCGAGCACTAGCTCGGACAAGACTTGCTAAGAAACATAAGAGCAAATCTCTGCACAGCATTCCCTTTACAATAAGCAGCAGGGGGTACTTACTGAATGACAACTTCCAATGCTTGGCCAAGGGACACAGGCTTATTATTGAGGACATTGAAGTCTAGTTGATGACTAAGGTAAGACGTAGCTTCTAGCAATCGGTTAAACTCTTGCTCTACCATTTCATCCTTCTCCTTAGGAACCTGAAAATCCAAGTAGAGCAGTCGATCCTTTTGTAAGACTGAACACAGCCACCCAAGGAAACACAAATGTGCTCTTATTTAAAAGGTCTCAAAGGGGAAGCTTGGGGACAATGATATAACTCTTCTCTATGAAGTGGTCAGTCCCATCTGAATGAAGTATGAAATGCTGAGTTTCCCCCCTTCTCCGTCTTTCCCTCCAAGCTGGGAGCCCACCTGTGTCACCACCCACAGGACGGCACTGGGGCGGACGGACTGGGGGCACATGGAGCACAGGGCACGCGAGCCACATGCACTGACTGAGCTGGGCCGGCATGCAGACACCACCACGCAGGACAAGTCCCAGAGACAAAAGCTTCCAGAACTTCACGGGCAAGATCGGAAAGTAAGAAGTTGAGGTAGCTGCCTGCCCTCAAAGATGACTTGACTCCGGGGCGGGGGTGGGGGTGGGGGTGGGTGAGAATCACACCTAGGAGTAAGCGCACCCTCCAATCTCTTCTGCGAGGAGCGAGGAGCGCAGGGTGGACAAAGCTCTTAGAGACAGGAGTCACTGAGGTGCCAGGGGCTTCTCGGTGGTGGATGGAAGGGCAGACTGCCGAGCCAATCAAGCCTCAAGGCCCCACCCCACGCCATGCTGGCTTCCCTTGGCTTCCTCCTGTCTGGAGAACCTCGGGGTCTGAGATTGAGTGTGGATTTCAATGGCAAGAGTTGGGAGAAACAGACCCCATAATAAACGGGGCACCAACTGGAAAATGGGACTCAAAATTGGACCCCTTACAGCCAACTAATGTTGGAAAGAGGAAAAACAGGATGTGAAAGCAAGTCCTAGCCCTCATGAAGACCAAGAGAGTGATCCTTTGCCATCCGAGGGCACCAGGTGTGGAGTGTGGACAAGACCCTTCCCAAAGCCATAGACTGATTCTGAGAATGGCTCTCTCGGCTCCTCCCGGGAAACTCACACAGGCACCTGGGGCAGAAGGCATCGGCCTGCACCCAGGGGGGGAGGGTTTAGATCCATCGCAACTCTCCTCTGTAGGTGCACGTATGACAGACCCCAAAACCACACGGACAGTTCCAGGCTCCAGAAGAGCACCAGGAAGGGCGCAGAGAAGCCTTATAAATCAGAGCTCCCTTTAGCCTAGGGCGAACACACGTCTCTATGAGGATTTTCTGGCTCTCACTGAGAAATGGGCTTTGGGTGGTGGTACGATTTACAGATCGGGGGAGGGGTGTGTGTGTCATTTACACTTGGGGGAGGGGCAGGACTGGTGGAACAAACATCTGCCTCGCTCATCATCAGACTCCCACGCCAGAGAGAGTTCTCCAGACTGCTGCAAAGACTCTTATCAGCATCTCGGGCACTTTGCTTTTTCTCCTCGGGAACTTCCTCGCCTACCTAAGGGTCAGACAGCGCGGCTCGATGCACTGTGACAGTCTGCTCAGTGGCCTTGCTATTTCTAAGGGCATGCTTGTGGTGGTGCTGCACCGCGCACCCCGAGACGCTCTAAAGTGAGTGCTCATTTCACAAGAGAACAAGGTGATTTCCAGAGTGACTGGATCTACCTGTGGGTTGTAAGAGCTCAGATTACAAAGCTTCCAAAGACCCAGCGGTCACTAACTGATCACAGGTGCAAAGAGCTTTTCCTGGAGGGTGGAGAGTGGACCTAGGACGCCTAGCAGGAGGGTGCTCGAACAGCAAGAGGGACTAGACCATAATGCCTCCAGCCAGGGCAGAACTGGCCAAGACACAGGTGCAAAGGTGCCGATTAAAGCGCTTCCAGGGCCAACTGTCATCTCCGCAGCTAGGGCGACAGTGAGAGGGACGTTCACACTGCAGAAGTATGAGGCGCTCAGGCTCGGTAAGTGGGGTCCGGGTGTGTGGTAGAGACATATTTAAAGGGACACTGTCAAGGTTAGAGGGACCAAATTTGACGTGGTGTTTCTTCCCCCTGTTTGCGGAGTGGTCTGCATGGTTCTTTACACATTCCCCTCAGCCCACCCACAGTCCCCACCAAAAAAACAAAACAAAACAGAAAACTGACACTTTACATGCTCCTTCAATGACGAAAACTCAGATGGCACCAGCCCAACACACAGGTTCGACTCTACAACAACAGACCGGTGTGGATGTCGGATGGTGAGGGTTTTTGGGAGGGAGAGAGATCCCTGTTTCAAGCTTTGATGGGTTATTATCAACAGTGAGGAAAATGATTTGAGAAATTATGAAAAAATACCTTGACAGTGTCCTTTTAACCAGTGCAGCAGAGAGAAAAATAAACTGTAAATAACAGCCCAACAGGCAGATCAAGTAGAGTCTGTGCGACAGCAGTTGCATCCAGGCTTTAAACACACACAGCGGGGCAGGGAGGGATGACTGCACAGAGACCGACATGGGGGAGCAAGGCACGGGGCTGGCCAAAGAAAAGCGGTGTAGAGAGAGGCGGGGAGGGGAGTGTCAGAAGCAGTAAGGAACAAAGCAAAACTCAAAAAAGGAGGAAAGGAAAACACAGAACAATAACAACAAAAATCAAACAAACAAAAACCAAACCAAAAGTTGACTGCCACGGGGCCCTGCCTTCCGGCTGGCAGGCCTGCATCTCCAGTACACCGCGCTCACTCGAGGCTCACCACAGGGGACACCGAGACCTGAGGCTCAGGCCCCACCCCATGCTGCCCAGGCCCAGCTCTGAAACCCAGATTTTCACCACCACCACCTTGAAACCCCCACTTTGAAATTAAACCAAGATTTAAAGAATAGTAAATAAAATACTTGTTCCCTTAGGAAACCAGTACCAACCAGGAGAATATAAAAACATGCTTTTGCTGTGTTTAAATTTTAGGTCCCTTTCTAAAATTAGGTTAGAAACACAGCAGCTGACACTCCCGGGCCATGAAGGAATCTAGCAAATGACCCAGAGCGCCACCAGCACCTGCACTCCGGGTCTTTCCCCCGCCCTGCCGAGAGCCCTGGGCCTCCATCAGCTCTGCGAGTGATTAGGCAGCGGAAAGGAGTTCAGCAAAGGGCAACCTCTCAGCACCTGGTGCACAGTACTTTCAGTGGGCCGGTCTAGGTCCGTAAGTTTCCATCCGGAGAAGGGAACTCAGCAAGTGATTACAAAGATTACCGTGCATACTTGAGTATAAGAAGACCTGAGTATCAACTGAGACAACTAATTTTACCAAAAAGAGCATTAAAAAGGTGCTGGAAAACTCGGCTAGTCCACGAGTACGTAAGTACCATCTCAAGGAGATGATGGTTTCTACACGACAACCTAGCAAGAACTCCTAATAGCAAGCGAAAAGGCACTTTTCTGGGAAAGGACTAATACAGCCTTCTATCAGAGGGCCAAGCAAAGAGATAGCACTTCACACAGACGGAAGGTATGACTTGTCAGCTGTTTGTTCCCGAGAGGCTCCAGGTAAATGGTTCCAAGACTGAGCCTTGGCCAAGTCCCTTGGTGCAGTCTGACGGGGGTGGCTCTTTGGATGAGAAGGGGCAGGGCAGGGGCAGCCTGTGCATCTAGCCCATGAAGAATAAAGGCAGTCACTCTCTAGACAAGGTCTCCGATGCTGCAGAAGTCCTCGGAAGCGCCACTTACGTCTAACTCTGGTGGCACCTACCATCACAAGTTCTCGGGCATCTCAAAAATGCTGTGCCTCGGCCCCCTGCCAGGCTTCTGGTGCTCTTGCAGCAGGGAGAAGTGGGGTTAAGTGTAGTAATGCCCCCAGAGCAGAACGTCTATAAGATGTAACTAGGGAAATTCGCAGAAAGACCTCACATTGAAAACAGCTGCAAAGGCCAACTCTGGGCAACAGGGGTCAGAGTCCACCTCTAGCTCCCTCCCTCACACCATTCGGCCCGTTTAGAATGATGGTAAACAGGTGGTCTATTTTTCAAGGTTTCAGAGAAGTGAGAAAAAAGAGGAGTTCCTCTGGTCAGATCTGATGTTCAAACGGCCTCTAATTCAGATTCCCAACTAGCTGTTATGCTTCAAAGGAGAATACAGACTAGAGACCTCTCCTTAAGCCAAACAAACTGAACTGCGATTCTCTAACTGCGGCTGAGGACAGGGGAGCCGGCCCACACACCACGTGTCTAAGTCGTTTACTCTGGCAGCTTTCAGCACATGGTACAGGCGCTTCGTAAAACATTCCATATATGACTCGTGAATGTTTGGAAGTGCAAAGTCAGCATGGGCACTGCATGTGCCACTGTACTGTACGTGTAAGGGTCTGGTGACAGTGGTCTGCATTGAACTGGTACCCCGAGGCTTTCTGCTCCTGCTCACAGGGGCAGGTCTACTCTGTCCTGAGGGTCGCTGTGAGTTGGAGTCAGTGGCAGTGAGGGAGTTTGGTCTGGGGATGTTATAAGTACATTTTAGGGACAGCCCTTGTCACAAGGAGGGATGGCAGAGAAAGACTACCTTAAAGATAGAGGAGATGTTTCCTTAAGAATCTAAAAACTGAAAGGATCAATAAGCCCTTCAACTCGAAATCTACCAGCCAAAGCACCACTGTGTGCGCCTTGGACACCTGTGATGCAGAAGTGCGTGGGGAGTTAGTGGGCTTGAAAAGGGACGAGCCGGTGCGTTTTCTTCCTTGAAACAGCGGAGCCACTGCAAGAAGAAAACCTCGACCTCTCACAAGTTGTAATCCCCCTCCCCCCACAGGCCCCAGGCAGCAGCAGACCACAGACCCTGCCATGCAGAACGCCACATACTGCAGGGTTCTGATTGCGATTCCTTTTCATTACCAGAGAGAAAAGGGGCCTACAGCCCCCGAGTTACTAGCTGGTGTACAGGAGATGCAGGAAACATTTAGCGCGATTCCCCCCTCTCCTCCATCCACATCCTCCCCAGCCTTCTCCACATCCACATCCACATCCAGTTAGAGCCCATGGCAGCAGGCTTCAGTGGCCACCTTCATCACTGGTCAGCCTGAGGGTCCCTGCTACATTAGCGGGACATGTCTAAGTTGACAGGACAGTAGTTAACATAATGGAATATATACTTAGAACAGTGGTTCGCAACCTGGGGGTCGTGACTCCTTTGGGGGTCAAATTACCCTTTCACAGGGGTCACCTAAGACTTTATTTCTGGTGTTCATAGGAACTGAGACACTGCTCCTCTATCCGTCTCCAGCGGGTCCGCTCACATGCAGATACGCCCACATATGGGGTCACCACAACATGAGGAACTGTATTAAAGAGTCGTGGCATTAGGAAGGTTGAGAACCACTGACCTAGAGGGGCAGCCCATGCTAGAACTGAACAGGGAAACCCTTGTTCTAGTCACCCAGAGCCACAAAATACACGTCCCCTGTCAAACACATACACTAAAGTTCAATGTATGGAAGAAGGAACCAAAAGTTAACAGAATTTTCCCACAAAGGTTCTGAAGTTCCCGCATACAAACCTATCAACTGAGAAAATCCCTATGTAGACCAGAAGTGTGACGTCAAATCTCACTTCAGAAGAACCCTGCACACAGTTTTGAAGCCAACACCAGGTTTAACTGAATGTAACGGCTGTTCACTGCAGTGCTACTGGGAGGGAAGGTCCCCCACCATCGTGGAAACGAGCGCACTGCTTCCCTCGCTGAGAAAATCTTGCTACCAAAGAAAAAGGCCTCTGAGGCAGCAGTGTGGCTAAGGCCATCATTCATGTCTATTTGGGCCCCAGTGGGCGATTCACACACTGGTGCCAGTTGGCAGGCCACGCCTGGGGGCAGAGTGGGTACACGAGAAGTCTGGGTGGTGCAGTGGCTAAGTGCTCAGCTGCTCACTGACAAGATTGGCCGTTTGACTCCTCCACAGGAGAGAAGGTGGCAGTCTGCTCCTGTAAAGATGACCGATACCTGGGAGAGCCTAGACGGGCAGTTCTTCTCTGTCCTAAATGATTTGCTATGAACCTGATCAACTCGATGGCAGTGAGTTACTGGTATACTGTGTGACTTCTCCCACATCTCCAACGCCCTAGTCTACCAATCCTCTAACAAGCAACACCCTCGACAGTATCAGCCCTTCCTGCATGCCAGCTTTCCCCATCCTACTCTCATCCTCCTTAGAAAGCTCTCGGCTTCAGATGACCTCGCCTCTGCCCCAGTCCCCTTCCTTCCCTTCCACAAGCATGTGCACTTCACAACGTGTGGTCCCCCTCCCTCCTACCCTTCCACAAGTGCATTCCCATATGATCTCTGAAAAATCTACCTTGATTTAGAATGATCTGCGTTACTGTTGTGTGTGATGGGCAATATATGATTTGCTTTAAAATGCTACCAACAACAAAAATAGAAATGGGATAATTGAAACGAGACTGGAGAAACTACTGTTTTTGTGTATACTTGAAAATCATAATTAAACGTTGAGATAGAAGAATTATTCATGTACATGCCCCACTGGTCTATGGAGTCTTGCATGGCTTGCACTGTCTTCCTCATGCCCACATCTTTTTTTTTTTTTGCTTTGTTATTCGTTGGACTGCTACTAACTGACCTTCAAAACTACCAGCGGCGCTGCAGGAAAAAGATGAGGTGCTCCACTCCTGTAAAGAGTTAGTCTCAGAAGGCCACAGGAAGGCCCGTCCTGCAGGGTCACTGTGCGTCAATGTCGACTGGTGGCAGTGACGGAGTATGCTTTGTTCTGTAAACTTTAACCTAATTCACTACATATTTATATATATTTAAGGGTGAAGGTGGGTTCTGGGGACATTCACAATGTCATGCAATGCATCCATCTCAGGTGATGCCCCAAGCAATGTCTCATGCCCACATCTTTACAGATCTTCACAGAATAACAGAAGTTTATTGAATTGTTGTATTAACCTCTACTTCACCCTTTTTACTCTTGCATTCTCTTTTCTTTATTCTGCCCAGAAGCCTTCCTCTCCAAGCCCTAGGACAAACAAAATTGGGATCCAGAATGCTGGCAATCGGAACCAAAGCATTCCCAGAATGCCTGCTGTTCTCTGTATTAACCCAGAGAGCTGGAAGGCAAACGGGAGAACCAGAAGGTGTCCCCTGAGACCTAACTCCCAGAATTCAAGAGTTGGGATCTTAATACTTTTTTTATAATAACAGCTAAATCACTGTGCATAAAGCAAGTCTTCCACTCCTTGTAATATGATGTGCTTCAATACTGCTTCAACAGAAATATGGACTGTCTCCCTCCTGGCAGGACAGTTGGTAAAATTGCTAAGTACAGCTTTTTAAATTCCATCACTCCTACTTAATGTAAAGTACACGCATCCGTTTGACCACATAGTCAAGACCTATCTTACATCATCGGCTACACGACTCTTACTCTCCCGCCTCCCTTTCACATTATTACTGTACTTAGGGTAGGAAACTCCTGTGCTTCTGGACAGAAAATGGTTGAATGTAACCCACCGAATCCAACAAAAACTTGAGCTTACCAACACAAAACCAAAGTCAGAAAGATACCAAGAGCCGACACGCTGGGAGGCATAATACAATAAAAAGATCAAGTTTCAATTCCATCGAGTTCTTAAAGTGGCCATAGCCAATTAACAACCTTGGAGCCTTCATTAAATGTCTAAAAACAAACACCGCAACGTGTGTGTGTGTGAATGCACGTGTAATTATCCCTTCTTCCGTGTAATGTAGAGTTCAGGAACAACCAGAATAATGCCATGCCAGTTCTATCATGATCAGTTCACTTCATGCTTATAAGGATTTTTCTCCAAAATTGCTTTCCACTGAACCCCAGAATATATGAAGAGTTCTGTTTGTCCTCGACTTACAGCTTGTCCGTTGGCTTCATAAAGTGGGCATTTTTGTTTGATCTTGGCCAGTTCCATATTTACTTGTTTGCTGACTACAGCCATGGGATTCCCTCCTGGGGAAAAATGGAAGCAATTACATTCAACATGCCTGGGAAAAGACCAAAACCTCACAGTGAAAATACTTTTACTCAAAACCAGAAGTACTTAAAAAGTTTATGTTATGTAAATCAGCTCAACTAAACTACGTTCCAAGTAAAAGATAGAAGATATGTGTAAATAAAGCAAAAAGCACCTAGAATCCCACAAGTTAACATACCCTTCTGGCCTCTATGTGTATAAAATTATACAGATACACTCACAAAAGAATCATAGTGAATATGCCATTTATCATCTTTACCCGACACAGCAATTAGCCATGGACATCATTTCACGGTAATACGTGGTCACAGCTTTCAGTGGTTTTATATTTCTCGTTGTGTCATAACTCAGTTTTCTAATCTGTGCTTTTTAATGATCTATTTTGAACCATCGCATAGTAAAGGTGCTTAAAACACAAGATTGTCAACTTGTCTGCTGTTGTAGGTAATTTCCTCGAATTGGAGCAACTAGGTTAAAAGGTATGAAAATTTGATTTTGCACAATTCAACAATTCCCCTCTCATCAGCCATAAGAGTACCATAGGTCAATATATTCTGACATTTTATCAGCTGTGAATTTACAACAGAAGCGTCTTACCTAGACCTGTTACTACCATGGCTCCCAGATCAGCTACATAATTTCCTTTGCGAAACGTAGCAACTCGTCCTCCCACACGATCCTGTTTTTCAGAATTAAAGGAGCACAACTGTCAATCCTACTTCCGCAGAGTAGCCTGGAGTGGTAAACATGCCAGGCAGCTGTCCTTTATAATCCAGACAGAAAGGTGTGGTAGAGTTCACAGGAAATGCAATCAATACTGGGGACGAATAAATGAGGTTTAAAACTTGAAGACTATTTGAAGAAGTAGGTAAAGAATGATACATGTTAGAAATACAGAAATGACGAGAAAAGAAACAGCTGAAATTCATATTTGATTTCTCTTCCCCCCCCTTCCCCCACCCTACTGCCAGTGAGTTGATTCCAATTCCTAGTCACCCCACAGGACAGTGTAGAACTGTCCGTGGGTTTACAAGGAAGTAACTCCTTATGGGAGTATAAAGCCTGCCTTTCTTCCTCCAAGCAGCGGATGGTTTCAAACCACTAACCTTGTGGTTAGCAGCCCAAGATATAATCTACTATGCCGCCAGGCTAGCATTCATTCAATCAGCCTTACTTTGGGCCCGGGAATACAATTTGCACTTTATAAAAAGCAACCTGAATTGCTCTGCAAATAACATCTTGTGAAGAATATAACTAGTTTGAAAAGTTTTAGACTAAACAATTTTAGTCTAAAAAATTTTAGTTTTAGTCTAAAAAGTTTTAGATTGTTGCAAGTGTTTATGTTCTTTATTTTTGATTTTTTAAAGGGTGGTGCTCCAGGAAGGCCTTGAAGACACTGAAAGAGAATTCAGTTTAAAATCATCCACCCCACCACCCCACCGCACCCCAAAATTGGAGCAGCAGCACTCTGTGCCACCTGCCTCAGCTTCCACCTTTCTCCCCAGAGCCAAGGAGAAAGGACAACGTCTCGGAGCTGTCCGTCATCAGACACTAAAAGACGGCAGCTGCCCAAGAAGCAAATGATCCCCCTCAGTGGTCACGCTGTTCACCAAAGAACATAAAGCCCTCAGCAAAGGGCGTGTCCGTGAAGGCCCAAACTGCAGTGTGAAGTGTGCAGCGACAACCAGTGACCGGACTGGATGCCTGAAGGGTAGATGGATGATCATTCACAAACTAAATAGTCACTGAGCTTGACCGTCAAAAATGCTTTCTATCCAGTAGAAAATAAAGCTGCTTAAGACTCTTGAGTATTGGACAATTTGGCTCAATTTGAAGTTGTATGACCACTCAATTTGCAACAGGTAATGATTTCTTGGATCTCCATTGGAAAACTCTATAAAATACTTACCCGGGCTTCTAGAAGTGTAACATCCATTCCAAAACTTTGTAGTTGGCGAGCTGCTGCCAAGCCGGAGACCCCAGAGCCTATAATAATGACTTTTCCTGTCTTTTTAGCTAAAACCAAAAAATTCAACAACAATTAGAATATTGTGTTGTAATTTTAAGAGATAGTATTTTAACTTTTAAAATCATAACCTTGAGGTCCCTACTGTCATGCTGGCTTATAGAAAATAAACAATTCAAAGAGGTTTTTCTAAATTTGGAAACTGAGTACACGCTGGCAAATATTTAAAACAAACTTTAATTCAATGTTAAAACTATAAATCAAATTCACTATCTGAAACTTGACTTTCTTACTGTACTTGTTGGTGGCACTTCTGCCTATGCTCACCTAGGAAGCTGACCACACTTCAAAAGTGTACCCGGACAGGGATTCGAGCAGCCAACCTGCTTACTCAGGGTGTCAGCTGTTTCCTTTAAGCTCTACTTAAACTAGCATCGCTTTTTGAAGAACTTTTAGCATCACAAGTAACTTATTATTCTCAACTAGACAGAAACAGTATTAAAAGAAATAAAGTAACCTTAGCAGATAAAGAACTGGTTGATAACAACAGCAAAAAAAGAAATCTAGTATCTTTATCAGCCAGACATTAAAGAAAATGCTCATTTTTGTAAAGAGATTTTATTCTAAATTGGGTGCTTAAGCAGATAAACTTGTTTGGCTCTAAATATAGATTTTAAAGTAATAATACATAAACAAAGGTGCACGCAGCATCGTGGACGTAAAACCAGGAAACCCTTACTCGGGAGGGGCTTTATCCTCTTATAGATGCCGAAGTTGATGAGCCCGTGGCGCTCCAAGTAACTGTGAACGCGGTGGACCAGCACAGTGTCACCTACAGGGCAAAAGAGTGTGAAAATGTTTCCATTTGCAGTAGTTTAAACGGAAATGTCTTCGGGTAACTGCTACCAATAGCCTACTATTAGCTGCATATGTTACCAGCAACAGTTGATAAATACGTGTCTTGTGTGGACAAACATCTATCTAGCATGTAATATGTATTTTATTATTGCACCCACATAAAAGCTGCATTTTCAATGTAAGATAAAAAGGTATCTCGCAAAACGTGCAAGATTTTCTTGCCTGCTGCGGCAACTGTAGCAACAGCTTCGAGAATTTCCTTTTCCATAGTGGCCCTTGTGCGGGTTCCTTATTGGGACATGGTGGTGACAGCGACTGCCGGCTGAAATCCACAGTGCCTGTCAAGCAATGTGGTCTTTCCTTGTCATGACTTTGCTCTGCTTCTTGGGACAACTTCCACCATCACCGGTGGCATGTTTGTATCTGAGTCACTGCACTAAGCAGGAAAGAAAAAATACTCGAGAAATGCCATAGATCACTCTTTATTAATATAGGCAGTTTTTAGAGAGACGAAACTGTTCACGAGATGATCGGCTGATTAGCATTGCCGGGCCTATTTTTAAAAAATACCACCTCTCAGCAGATCTGTGTGGTTCATGCCTGTGTTGTGCAAGGGTCAACTGGAGCTGTCATGCACGTCTACTTTGGTCAACACTTCCCAAGAAGCTGGTGGTGAGAGGGCAGGTAAAAAGCCAGGTAGTTAGTTGGCAGACAGAGTGCCAACAACACTTCCCACAGATTGAAATTCGGATTGTTAAAAAAAAGCTGGGGATTGTATCTAAGAAAATAATTTAGCAGGCTTTTGCGCTCAGCCACTTGCTAACATAAATAAAGACCAGGAAAACAAACACCAAACAGGTTTTCTATTAGGCTCATTTGTGCATGCCACAGTACAATGAAAGAGAATGGAACTCCCCCCCCACCACCACCACCACCACCACCACCACCCCACACAAAAAAACAAAAAAAAAGAGAATGGAACTATGAATGAAAAGTTAATTATCAACTTCCACAGTCTAATCACGAACAAGTTCTACTGAATATACTACTTACTGTTATAAGGTGCTTCTAATTGTTGGAGAGTGGCCTCAAATGTCAGCTGGATCTTTGGATTATCCAACCACAACTGCAACTGTATTGAAATGAGAGTGTATTACACACAGACAGACCATTTACCATCTTTTAAATCCTTGGCTTTTCTTATATTAACACTGTGAGGGCTTTACTTCTGACAAAGCAAAAGGCACCACGAAAATCCTATCGATTTAGTGGACTGAACAACAGCTGAGGAATACTTGATCTCAAAGAGAAAATAAATATTCACTTGCCAAGGTCATTCTGCTAGTGAGGAAGGAACAGCTAGGACTTAACTTTGCGTGTGCACGTCCAGTGCCACTAGAAGAGGAAACAAAAATCCAGAAACCCAGCAATCAGCAAGATAAGCAGAGGAGGAAGAAAAAGAAACGCCCAGAGTCACGAACTCCTTGATTTTGGATTCACACAACTGAGCTGGTCTGCAGCCACCACATCAAGGTCACTGAAAGCAGGGAAGAGCAGTCTATCTCCAACAAGCAAGAGGGGAGTGCTACAGCAGGCAGCCAGACACACCGTCTGGAGTCTTCTGTTATGGACGGTCCTGGAAGCCCAGTGTGCAGAAGAGGGGACCGAGAGAGGAAGTAGGGAAGAGAGAACACCTCAGTCAGTCCGAGTTCCGCAGCTGGCTCATGCACAGGGCTGCTAAGCCGTCAGCGAGGACGACCACCGGGGAAGTAAGACAACAGACGAGAGGTGCTACTGAAGGCAAACAGGGAGCGTGTTTTCAGAACAAAGATGTTGTTAACTACTTATTTCCAATACTGCTAAAACAGTAGTAAGAAAAGGAATGGAGAGCATATTGTTACAACCAATGGACTCTTAATAAAATGAATTCTCTCCAAATTAAACATCTACCTGTGGGGCTTCAAAAAGTTTATGGAAAAAAATCCATTATCTTTTAATTCCGTATCTCCATGAACTTTTTGAAGCCCCCTTTAATTTGTAAAAGCACAAGACAAATTGACTACTACTGTAAAGCCTGAGCTGAAAATTAACAAGTTCACAGATACATTTCTGACATGGAGTCATTTGGTTATGTGTAACTAAACCACATTAGAACCCAGATACATGTGTCACTTGTCTCTGCGGCCACTGCAAAGGGAAAATGGAATTTCTAAGCACACACCAGGCCCAAATTCCTCATCTCTCAACACAAGCCTTTTCCCACCTTCCAGCCCATAACTAAGACTCAGCTCACAGGTTCTAGGTTCAGTAATTTTAAGACTGCGGTTTCAACACCAGTGGCAAACGGAGTCAGTGATGGCTAAAATATGCCAAGATAAGCACTCTGAGCTGAGACCAGTAGCCCGGTGGCCTAGTGCTTACTCGTCAGGCTGTGATGCACTAGGTCTGAAAGCCCCAGACGACCAGCAGCTCCACTGGAGAAAAGCGCGGCTCTGCTCCTGTGAGGAGCAGGTGCAGCCACGGGACGCATAGGGGTGGTTCTTCCCTGTCCTACAGGAAGCTGTGAGTCCGTCTGGGTTCGTTAACAGTAAGAACTACGATCACAGTGTCAACTACCAGTCTGAATCACCCTAGGACGCAATGAGTATGTCCCTTCTCTACTCTCTGGAAATATAATTACTATAAGTATAAGCCGACCCAACTATCAGCCGAGACACCTAATTTTACCACAAAAACGGCATTAAAAATGTGCTGAAAAACTCAGTTTATACTTGAGTGTATATGGTAGCTAGAAAAAGCGAAGGGAAAAAAATCAAGGAAATGTACATTAACTGAGATAGGCTTTGGCTGATTATTACAGCAGCAAAGATCATCATGGTTTTAATGACAAAAATGAGCAGGCGGCAGCGATGCCAAATGGGCAGACTTCCTGGGCAGCAACCTGGCCACAGGATGAACTAGACTTTGTGGTCCTCTCTTAACACAGAATTGCAGGCAATTTACAAGTCCTTTTCCCCCTTTCAGGTTGTTTGCCATATTCTCCGTAAGAGTGACAGACCCATGTTACAGTCCAGGAGCAAAACAAGTGGACATGGAAACTTACTGTGCGGTTTCTGATGAACAAGAAAACCTTCTGGGTCTGCTGTGGCCCGCTGATGATATCAGGAAAGCAGGCTGCCTCTTGAGAAGTCATCCGGTCGTGGGGAAGTCGGCTCTGGAAAGCTGCGCCCTCCACACCTGCAAAGAAAGCAGCGCGTCCAGGAGAAGTGCAGAGGACACGGGGGTCACTGATGTCTCAAGCTCCTTTCTGCCTGAAGAACTGTGCAGAACTCTGACTCCTGCAAGCAGAACTACCTGACCGCTTCCTAAAGAAAGACTCTGAATTCGTCTCAGAAACAGAAATCTAATTTAGAATGTAGCCACTCTTTTGAGCTTAATATTCTAGGGCTTACAGCATACTAGTGAGTGAAACAATATAGTTTATAAAATGTAACAAGGCCTTTAGAGTATGCATTTCCTTCACATAAAATAATTCTTAATATTGGATGGATGATGCTTTAAATAAAGCAACCCACTGCTAGTATACAATAAAGTTTATAACTAAGCAATTAGAGTAAGGGGAATTGCAACTAACGCCAAGAAACAAAACGAGTAGAAATTGCTGGGTGGAAACCCCGTGTGCTCAGGAAGCTTTCACTCCATACTAAAGAGAAAGGAAAGTACACTACAAGCACCCACCTCGTGCGATTACAGCGAGGGAAACAGAGATGGTTCTAAGGCTTAATAATCAACAGCATGAATACATGAACCCATCAAGGACACCAACCATTAGTCTCATAATTCATGGCTGGAAAGCAATGAGAGAAATCAAGCAGAATACAAGTATAAGAAAGCAAGCAAGGAATTTGCTTTTTTTTTGGGGGGGGGGGTGCGGGGGTTGTTCATAAAAATGAGATGCTCTACTATATATAAGGAGCCTTGGTGCCGTAGTGGTTATGAGTTGGGCTGTGAGCAACAAGGTTGGCAGTTTCAAACCCCTAGCCGCTCCACAGGAAAAACAGGGCGTTCTACTCCCGTAAACAGTTACAGTCTCGGGAACTCACTGAGGCAGTTCGGCCCTGTCCTACACGGTCACCAAGTCACTGTTGACTCATGGCAGCAAGTTTGTTTTACTACATACAAGTAGAATATGTTAATACAGTTCTAACGATGTCTTAGAAAAGTGTCCTCAACACCAGCCTATAAAAATACCAATCTAAACAAATTCAAATTTCAAGGCCATGGAAATATTGTTATAAGATATGCACCCAAGATCTATATTTAATTCTTTTAAAGCAGAAGATACAAGAGGTTGGAAGCACTGACAATGGAAGCAAAATGAAAAGAAAACCATCAGTTTGGCAGGAAATAAAAAGGACAAGACAGATACAGTGTAACTTACAGAGCTGGAGATAATGGCGGGGTTTGTTTCACTAAAACATTAAAATGAAAAACACTAAAAAGCAATCACGGCTAATCAGAGGTCAAGCAAAACTGACTGGTGTTAATACGGGTTAATTATAACCACAAGTAATAATTCTAACTGTGCTCACATGCAAGGCGAAAAGACCACAATGCGACAGCATTAGATAGGAATACAAATATGCTTCGTCTTACTACATATCAAGTTAACAACTATTACTTCAGCTTAACGAATCCCAAGAGACTGTCAGAAAACATCATCAAATAAGAACCATACTGTAGTGGAAGAATCATACAACCAAGACCAGAAACCAAGAAAGGTGACTGTCAAGGGTACAGATTATATATTAAGTTTTCTAAAATCAGGCAGCATTGATTCCCCAGTTCTCTATGCCCAAATAAAAATGAACAAAAAATATTATATATATTAAGTCAAGACCAAATACACCTCACATTGTAAGCAGCACTAATGTGTAAGCACACATTAATGCCAGGTATTGAATCAAATGTCTCTTAATAGGTTACTTCTTGATATCAATAATCTTGAAACCAGGCATCTCTATTAAATTCTATTAAAATCTCTATTAAATTCTACTGCTCCCCCACTAGAAATAGGGTTTAGTTTTCTTAATTTTGTTATCTTCTATGTTTAATAAGCGGTCACTGACATTAATCTTACTGCAAAGTATTACTTTTAATAACAGCCAGGAAGATAAAACACTGGCTTCTAAATTACACTTGGCTCCTCATTAAAAGTGTTTCCTTTTTGTGTGTGTGTGAAAGTCCCTGTAATATATTTGGTTAACTTGGGGAATCTTGAGAATACGTAAGAATTAAGAAATTTATATTCCTTATTATTCAATTATAAATCTATCTATAGTTATAAAACTATAAACATAAATCCCGCGACAGATCTAAAGTAGCTAGAAATCCAGCATAAAAGCTTACCCAAAGAATTAGAAGCTCAAAGTCAAGCCTGACACTGACACTTTTAGAATCATATTCTTCTCCATCTCTACCTACTAGATATCTAAAAAACCTAGATATTCTTTCATGAAAGCTGGTCTCTAAAATTCTCAATAATTATTTCTTTCCTTTTGTTTTTTTTGGCATAAAGACTATTTATTTCAAGGGATGAAGATTACTATCAAACTAGGATGAAAAGCTTTTTAAAAAGAAACAAAGAATATGTTCACTTGGAACCAAACTGGCTCAAAAGCTAGACCAGAATATTCTTCTTTCAGGACATTTCCAAAGTGAAGCAACAAACTAATTTGAATGCTCTAACACCATAGTTCACTGCTGTGGGGGAAAGCCTCCAAGAACACAGTTGACCTTAACAATATCTTTCCAAAGTAATTTACAATTGGCTCTGGAATATAATTTTGTGCTTTGGGGTTTGTGTACACTTAATGGAATCTGGTACTCCGGAAACTTAGAATGCTTCAAACTGATGCTACCTAAAGGTTTAAAACCCCAAGGCTGTCTGTCTATATACTAATCCTGTCCTCTGTTCAATTCCTTCTTGCGCGTCTCCACTTCACGCAGGACGCTCCATCAACACCTTTCACAATGGAGTCATAAGCTGACTGAAGCAGCACCCCCCTTCACTCAGTTCTGACTGGCTGGCTGGCACTCTCTCTAAAACCACGGCAGTGTTTTCTATTTCTATCTATTCCATGGAACCCACCCCTGACTCTGCTATGGTACAGGTAGTACTTGACTACATACAGTGTGGTAACATCAAAAGAAAAACGGACTTGTCTTTTATCGTTTTCATAGAGTAAATAGCGGTAACTAGCTATGTGAGGATAGCTCAATTCCTAATTCCAGGGTGAGAACAAAAGCCTAATCGAAACTACATAGTAAGACTTTACTTAAAACCAGCATCGGTGGGTGCATCATTTTAAGGCCTAGTGGTTGAAAAATATAAAGAATTAAGTGCAGGGGAAGAAAAATAAAAAGAAGAGGCTCATGATTCCTTATGCTTTAGCACTGTGATTTTCAGAGTAAAAGCAATTTTAAGTGAGTCTAGGAAGGAAGATGTAAATCCATGCACTAAAGACCAAGACTCCTGAGTTCTCACTCTTCGTCCACCTCGACCCTCTCTGGACTGCAAGTCCTAATCCACCAGGTCAGAGAGACAAGATGGGAGCAGATGACGGCCCTCTCTCTCCCTTCCAGCTCTGAGTTGTTAAAGCACACATACCAACTAGGAGTGAAGTTTAAGAAGTCAAGACATGACGCTGGGCCCAAGCAAGATATCCAAGAAGGTCACCTGGCCCCACTGAGAGAAGAATATCGATTTGCGGCCACTCGTGTTTAACGTTAATTGCTACCTCACAAATGCATGCTGCTGAGCACGGTAAGGACCTGAAAAGAAACCTGCAAGGGCTCAGAACAGCCACCGTCATTTCTGTAAACACTTACAATTTATGTTCTACCAACCGTGAGTCAGTAGCATCAGTGGAATATGAAAGTCTGTTTTCACTATCAGCGATAAAGCCTATTACTTAAGCAAAAGAACAAATATAAAGTCACATTAAAAACTAAAAAGCAACAAAAGAAAACTCAAACATCTTTCTTCAAGATGAAGGCTCTAAAGGTTATTTATCTCCGATCCTTGAGATGGAGGGTCTGTCTGTGCATCATTTGACAAAAAGCCTTTTTAAAGGTTTATCTCCTACAGATCTTGCTTCTGAATGAGAGCTTACCTCCTCCAAAACATACATGTCCTGATTATCAATTTTCAATCCTTGCAATAACACTCGAAGATATCCACTCCTAACATTCTACCCCGCTAACTATGGATTTCTGTACAATGAACTACTTTGATTCAACAGAGTAAAATGCACACATTCCCTGGACACATTTGATGCAACATTATAAATAATTGAAAAGTAGGAGATTTAATAACTGTAAAGTGATAAACTATGAAAGTGAGTTAACATCTACTTTATGAAAATATATCTGTAAACCATCTTTGAGCCCTGGAAGAGACCAAACATTCTTTAAGAAGCTCCCTTGGATTATTGGAATAAAACAGAACTGTACCAGACAGCGATCTGTATAAATCACTTAATCCTCGGCTTTTCCTAGAAGAAAAATCTCATATTGTCTGGTCTGAAAAGAAAGTATTTTGGACAGACTTGTTGAAAAAAAGACAATTTTTATGAGAAATGAATTTTTTAATTGCAAACTGATTGACTACATAATGTTCCTTGAAAACAAAGCACCCAACACCACCTAGCCACCGTGTGGATGTCACTTGCCTGCACAGCTCCAGTGGGCTAGTCCTAGAACACCTTTCAGTTCTGTTCCCGTGAACTTTCCAGGCTGTGGCTTTCATCCGTGTATCTTACTTTATTTCTTTATTATTGGTCCCAAGCTCCCGAAGTCTGTACACTGTGCATGATTATTATACCGCAAAGGCTGTTGGGGAGAGAAGCACCCACCGGGTCCTCAAGAGCATGAACAAGAGTGGAGGGCTGAGATCGGCCTGAGGACTTCAGAAGGGTTTGCTTGCTTTGGGTCTGGCTACGCCCTTTCTACACCTACCCTATCCTGTGAGTTAGCTTTCCCCTGCACTTCTGGCTAAAACGTGGATACCACAGCCAAAAATACTTGCAAGCATCAATCCCTGACGTGGCGGCTCTTGCTACTAAGTGGCAAGCATCTAATGCCACCCTCACCTGATGCTTGGCCGTCTCCATACCCTCCAGAACTGTCGTCTTGAAGTCCTCCTGCTTGCCCTGTGGAAGGAAAGAGGAGAACTCAGGGACCTTACTCCACAAATGAAGATATCATCTGGACACAAAGGCCTAGGGGGTGGCGACTCGTGAATTCACCAGCAACTAGCAAACCCAATTTCAGAGAGCGCCTTCTTCTGGAATCAGGGCCCCGGGGTCCACACTGTAGTCTTCCAACTTCTGGCCAGAAAATCCCACTTGACACGCGTGTTCTTGTTGACAGGGAGTGGAGCAGGCTGCACAGAGTCTCTGGTGGCTAAGTCCTTGCTGTCAGTCTTGTGGAACAGTCAAGGACAGGGGGGTGGGGGAAACAGCAGTGCACGCGTCTTTCACTACCCACTGCTAGACTGAGAATGGCTGGGGCCTGGGCTCTGGGGCCTAGAGTGGCAAAAAGTCAGCATCAGCTCAACATCCCTTTACCTCTTTAGCTTTCTTCCGTAAGAGAATAAATTTAGGACAATAGTAAACGATAGACAATTGTAATGAAAAGGTCTCCCTCCCCTTCTAGCCAAAGGAGAGACGATAACTTAGAGTCAGCCCCAAAGACACGTCATTTACTAGGCTCACTAGACAGTGCTGGCGCTTCCCGACTGGCACGTCAGAGCACGTCTGAAGACGTCTTCAGTCACGTGCCAAGTCATGGAGACACACACTTTGGAAGGGGAACAGGCAAGATCATGGGAGAGCTTCTACCTCAAGCTACCTAAGTCTTCTAAAAAATATCCCTTACTAACGAGGAGAAATAACGTCAAGAAAACTATCAAAGATCCATCTGAAAATAAGCAGAATTAATTGTCTTCCAGGTGCTTCCAAAACCTATCCCCAAGAGTGATGCTACTATCTAAGCTCCTTGTTACCTGGTACACCCCCAGTGATTTAAATCTGGACAAGTTTCACTGAATGGTTTAGTTTAAAGAGACACCCTCAAATAGAAAACCAATGGATTCTTCTATCATAAGTTAGAAGCAAGCAATACAGTGAAACAGAGCCCCTTACTAAAGAATGTGCCAAGAGCTGTGAGACATAAATAATAGCTTCATTTTTAAGTGAATGAAGGAAAGAAATTGAGATTTAGAGAAAAAAAGTGATCATTTAAACGGAATATTAGAACATGTTGCAATAAGGGAAAATGAAGGTAGAATTGACTGTCATTCTAAAGTCACTTGACTTAAGTTCTTATCTGAAAGGTCTTTCAAGTTACAGAACAGTGGTTCTCAAACCTGTGGGTTGTGACCCCTCTGGGGGTTGAACGACCCTTTCACAGAGGTTACCCGATTCATAACAGTAGCAAAATTACAGTTCTGAAGTAGCAATGAAAGTAATTTTATGGTTGGGGCTCTCAACATGAGGACCTGTATCAAAGGGTCATGGCATTAGGAGGGTTGAGAACCACTGCTTCACAAGGTTATGCTTTTTACACAAGGTGTAAGACGTGATTTGTCGGTGACAACTCTTGGAAAAGGTAGTAAGCATGTAAAGAAGTGACGTTGATTACTAAATTCAATCTACAAATTATCTTTAAAAGGCAGTAAAATTTTACTTTTTTGTTCAAATCAGAAATGTTCATTTTTAGTAAGTTCTCAGTTGATTCATGAAAAAGACTTTTACTATAGGTTCTTCTTTTTCAATAATTGCTTAATTAATAATCCCTTAAGAACTACTGTCAGTGCTTGGTTGGATTCTAAATAGAACCAAACTAGATCAAAACACTGTTTTATTTGTGAAAGGAGGAAGCTCAGAAATAAGCATAACCCTTGTCGTGTTTATGGAAAAAACTTCACACGAATAATAAGCGTACAGGAGAAAAAAAAATGTTCTAAAATTGATTGTAGTAAAGATTGTGTAACTTCTTGATTTGGTCAAACTACTGAGTTATGTGATATATGAATGAAGTACCAATAGAAATTTTTTTTTGTTTTTTAATTTGTTTTTTGTAAGTATAAAAATTAAGAAATAAAACTGTCTTTGTTTACAAAAAAAATAAACATAACCCCTAAGAATAACCTTTTAGTATAAGAATAACAGCTCCTCTCTCTCAAGTCATGTTTTGGCTTGGCAAAGAATGAAAGCAACTGCGAAGACCCTTCATCATTCTTTCAAAAGAAAAATAAAAAACAATGACTAAAAATATATTCCAGCTAGCCACTGTCTGATTTAATTATTCCTATTTCTATCATCCCCCCACTACATGTCATGTAATATGCTAATTGGCCGACTGTGACCGAGTTTCTCTCTCTGAGTCATTGTCACAATAGAAATATGGATTTCTGACCTCTGATTTAAGGGCTCACAGGTTAATAAAAAGGAACAATAAAGCAGGACAGAATCATTTGTCTTATAAGGATTATCCCTTGATTAAAAACATATAAAAGAAGTATGGAAAATATTGACTAACCTAGGAAGATTATTTAAAAGATTCCTTCATAAAAGCAAAAAGTCAAAAGGGGTATGAAATGCCAGAGTATTATTTAAGCAAAGAAAATTGGTGGAAACCAAGCAGAGAATGATACAAACAGAAACATAAATAATGAAAAGGTGAATCTGGTACATCATTTAAAAGGAGGTAAAAGAACAAGAGAAACACCTATCACCTTGATCACAGAGTTACGGTTTGTTTGGAAGGGCAGGAAGAGGTTGCCGGGTTTCCTCTCGTTAGGGTTCTGAGGGCGGCTGCCTGTGGCACAGTGGCTACCCAGCGGGCTGCGATCTGCCACTCTGCCGGAGGAAGATGAGCCTCTGCCTCCATAAAGTTACAGTCCTGGAAACACACCCTTGCCCACGGGGTCTCTGTAAGCAGGCGTCAACTGGCTGGCTGTGATCTGGCTGGCTGGCTGGCTGAAGAGGGTCATCTTTACCAGTGGTACCCTGGACCAGTTCTTGACTGTTTTCTGAAACATAGGCCACACACAAACACTTGCAGCCAACTGCCCATCTAGGTAGCGTCTGATTAGAAAATGAAAAACGCCATACTCAGCCGCTCTCTGGGTTTTCCACCCTAGGACTTGCTTCTGATAGTGACACAAAGACATGGAACAGAAGGAAAACACAGTTGGTATCTTACACGAAAGCAAATTCAAAATAGGAAATGAAAATGTGCAAAAGTAACCTCTTAGCATCACCTTGATTTGGGCACCTTCGCATCAGCATAGGCTGGTTTTTGGTGTGGGGCTTCTTTGGTTTTCTGTGGGATCACCTTTTGTTTTCATTCCTACCACTACATACACTAAAAGAACACGCCCCCCCAC